TTACGTAAAACTTGGATCACATATTGTGGCCCCAGTCCCTTTGCCCAGAGGTCAGGAATCCAACTAATTTGAATTTACAGTATCTGATGATGCTTCCAAATAAATATGACTAATTATGGCTTAGCTGTTCTTGAGGATTTTTAGCTTACCTGAGCTGAAAGCTCAAGTGAGCTTTTCTGATCACATTTTGTCTGTCCATCTGTAAACTTTTCAAAATTTCAACTTCTTCTCCAGAATACCGAAGCCCATTTAGGACCTATCAAAAAATATTTTTGAATTTGAAATAATAAATTGTCAAATTTGTTATAACAGATTAAATTCGTTATAACATTTTCTTTAAATTCTTATAACAATTTGATCTGTTATAACAAATTTGTTGAATTCATTATGATGAATTCAAAACTTTGTAATAAGGAATTAAATTCATTTAAACGAATTCTAAAATTTGTTATAACAAATTAAATTTGTTTAAACAAATTCTAAAATTTGTTATAACGAGTTAAATTCGTTTATTCACATTCAACAATCGGGCCTATAGAAAAATATATATGAATTCAAATAAGGATTTTTCGAACATCTTTTAACTAATTCATTATGACAAATTAATGAATTCGTTTTAATGAATTTAATTCATGATAACAAGTTTAGGATTTGATATAACTAATTTAATTCGTTATCACAAATTTTTGAATTCATTGCAACGAATTCATCAAATTTGTTACATGTACATCAAATAAAATTCATTATGATGAATTCAAAGAGATTGTTATAGCGAATTAAATTTGTTATAACAAATTCCACAATTCGTTATATCAAATTCAAAAATATTTTTGATAGGTCCTAAATGGGCTTCCGTACCAGAACCATTTTGTCAATTTCAACTAAACTTTGCACAAAGCATCCTTGGGTGAAGGGGATTCAAATTGGTTCAAATCCAATGAAGGGCTAAACCCTCTTTCGAGGGGAGATATTAAAGAATTTGTAGAAATTTATTGGCATCTTTTAAAAATCTCGAAGAACCACTGGCCCATAGAAGTTGAAACGCATCTGAAACCTTCATTACATAGTGTAGATTCAAATTTGTTCAAAACATGACCCCTGGGGATAGGATGGGGCCACAATGGGGGGTCAAATGTTTACATAGGAATATTTATGAAAAATTCTTCTAAAAAACAACAAAGCCATCATAATAGTTATATTGATATGGAAGCATCCTCAGGTGGTGTAGATTCAATTTTGTTCAAATCATGACCCCTAGGGGTAAGGTGTGGCCACAATTGGTGATCATATTTTAACATGGTAATAAATGGAAAAAATCTTTAAAAATCTTATTCTCAAGAACAGCAAAGCCATTAATAGTAACATTGATACTAAAGCATCCTCAGGTAGTGTAGATTCAATTTTGTTCAAATCATGACCCCCAGTAGTAGGGTGGGCCACTCTGGGGGATCAAAATTTTACATAGTAATATATAGGAAGAAATGTTTAAAAGTCATCTTAACTTCTCAAAAACAGCAAAGACAAGATTAGTCATATTGATATGGAAGCATCCTCTGGTAATGTATATTCCGGTTTGTTTAAATTTTAATCCCCAGGGGTAGGGTGGGGGATCAAAGTTTTACATAGGAATATATAAGAAAAAATGTTTAAAAATCTTTTTCTAAAGAACAGTAAAGCCATGATTATTCATATTGATATGAGAAGCATCCTCAGGTTGTGTAGATTCAAGTTTGTCTAAATCATGACCCACTGAGTTAGGGTGGAGCTACAATAGGGGATCAAATTTTCACATAGGAATATATGGGAAAAAATCTTTAAAATGTTTTTTTCTTAAGAACATGAAAGCCATGATTAGTCAAATAGATAATGAAGCATCCTCAAGTAGTGTTGATTCAAGTTAGTTCAAATCATGATCCTCAGGGTGGGATTGGGCCATATCTTTAAAAATCTTCTTCTCAAGAACACCAAAGTCATGATTAGTCTTATGAATATGGAAGCAATTCCTCAGATAGTTTAGATTCAAGTTTGTTTAAATCGTGACACTTTGGGGTAGGGTGGGGCAAAAACGGGATCAAATAGATTAGGAGAAAAAATCAGATGATGAAAAACAGCAGAGCCGTATTGACTCAGGTAAGCATTGTAGCCTATAGGCCTCTTGTTACAGATTCTTCCTAAAGATTCACATGTTAACCTTTGAGTGCCCATTGTGACCCAACCTAGCCCCAGGAGTCATGATTTGAACAAACTTGAATCTACACTACCTGAGGATGCTCCCATATAAATATGAATAATTATGACTGCTGTTCTTCAGAAAAATGTTCCTGTGTATTTCCATATAAAACTCTGATTGCCCATTGTGGCCCCACCCTACCCCCAGGGGTCATGATTTGAACAAACTTGAATGTACACTACCTGTATTAGGATTCTGCCAAATAAATACCTTATGTATTTCTGTGAAAACTTGGATCACCTATTGTGGCCCCAACCTAGCCTGGAGGGTCATGATTTGAACAAACGTATAAATATGACTATGTCAGTGCAAAAATTAGAAATGAGTTATCTCTTTTTGAACAAAACTTTTTAGCTCACCAGAGCCACACACCCATATATGGGCGATCAATATAGGAATAATCTAAAAAAAAAAAAAAGAAAAAAAAAAAAAAAAAAAAAAGAAAAAGAAAGAAAAAAGCAAAGCCATGATTAATAATATGTACATGGAAGCATCCACAGGTACAGTGTATAGTGTCGATTCAATTTAAGATTGTTCAAATCATGACCCCTGGGGTATGATGGGGCCACAATATGTGATCTAATTTTTTACATAGACATATAATATAGGAAAAATTTTTGTTAGTGAAGAAAAAGATGGGCCATAGTGACTCAGGTGAGCATTGTGACCCATTGGCCTCTTGTTTATCATTTACAAATGCGAGAGTGTGAAAATAACAAGGAGCAATATAATTCCTTGTACAGTATGTGTTCTACCCATACAATAGATCCACAAGTATTACTTCAGTGCGAGATCATTACAGTGGGAGCCTACCATTTGAATACTGTATACAGGGTTATTTTCATTCTGTATTATTTTCGCCCTTTCACACTTGCAAACAATTTTGCCCCGTTTTAATTTCGCCCAGTCACTGTTTTGTTTAAGAAATTATACTGTTTTCTTTGAATTCATCCAGTCTTAAATTCGCCCACTTGTGTCTAGGGCGAAAGGGGCGAAAATAAAACGGGGGTGAAAATTTCCCTGTATACAGTATATATATATCTGTGTGTAAAAGGCTAGATGTCTACTGAGATATTCTACCTAAATGACCCTAACCTTGAGTTTCCAGTTTGAAGTAACTGAAATTCTGAAGTATGTCAATGAAAAAGACATGCATGTTTTTTTTTTTCTGAGTAAATAAGTTTTAAGGATGAAAAGGTTTATTTTCCCTTGAGAACATTTGCACTAAGTAATCAGTGTACACATCAAAAGATTCAGAATTGTTACTGCTAGGCCAACATTTACACACTGAATTGTCTACAGATTTTTCCGTTTGTTTCCTATGATGAAGAGCATACGGCAGGTGTGACCGGTGGGCAGGGGATGCTAACTCCTCCATGGCACCTGATCCCACCTCTGATGTTGCTCACTCCTCCATGGCACCTCATCCCACCTCTGATGATTTAGAGGTCATTGTTTGCCCTGCTCCTGATTTGTATTGACTGGACTTGAATACTGTTTGTTATCTCCACATTTCATTGCTGCTACTTTTCATTCTATTTATGCTACAGTTTTCAACTGCACATTTCACAATGGCAATATTATCTTGAAAACTTGACTGCATGCTATTAGATAGTTTACATGCTGACTTGCAACAAACATTGTCTGGCTGAGATGCAAGTCATACATGTATTTTTTAAGATAAGTTCCAGCAGATCATTTAATTTATATTGATTACTTTATATGAGTTTGAATCACCCATTAATGTCAATGTGGTATCTAAAACCTATGTTATGGGGTACCATGGGAATGTCACATTTTGGATGCTTTCTCTTAACAAGAGGCCCAGGGGCCACATCGCTCACCTGAGCACTGTGGCTAGGAAAAAAGCAAGGATCAGTTAAGTATTAAAAAGCTTTAAATGCATAAGTGGTCCCAAACTCCTACCCCTAAAAGGGAGGGGGTATGATTTGAACAAAATTGAATCTACACTAATTAAGGATGCTTACATATTTTTTTGACCGTGTCCTTTTTCTCCTACAACTTTGAACTTTCATTGTGGTCCCACCCTATGCCCAGGGGGTCATGATTTGAAGAAACTTTAATCTACACTATCTGAGGATGCTTCCATATAAATATGACCAATCATAGCTTTGCTGTTCTTGAGAAGAAGATTTTTGAAGATTTTTCAAATGTATTACCATGTGAAACTTTGATTGTCCATTGTGGCCCTACCATAGTACCCCCAGGGGTCATGGTTTGAATAAACTTGAATCTACTCCACCTGAGAATGTTTCCATATAAATATGACTAATCATGGCTTTGCTGTTCTTGAGAAGAAGATTTTTGAAGATTTTTCCTATATACTCCTATGTTAAACTTTGATTGTACATTGTGTCCCCACACTATCCTCAGGAGTCATGATTTGAACATGCTTGAATCTACACTATCTGACAATCATTCCACATGAGTTTCATCTTTCCTGGCTCATTGGTTCTTAAGAACTTCAAGAAGATTTTTCAATGATGCTGTTAATTTTTTGCTATTTCGTAATTATCTCCCCTTAGAGGAGGAGGTGGCCCTTCATTTGAACGAACTTGAATCCCCTTCACTCAAGGATATTCTGAGCCAAGTTTGGTTGAAACTGGCCCAGTAGTTCTGGAGAAGAAGATAAAACTGTGAAAAGTTTACAACGACTACGTCGACAGACAACGGACAAATTTTGATCAGAAAAGCTCACTTGAGCCTTCGGCTCAGGTGAGCTAAAAATATACAAATGTAATTTGAATCCTTGTATTTTAATATATTTATTTGCTATTAACATGTCTTATTGTGTATGTTATTTTTATATTAAAATTTAAAATTAGCACCTAGAATTTTGCAAATACATATACATGTACTATATGAACAGACCTAACAACCACGTACAACTTTTGATATACATGTACTTACACTGAACACATTATTTCATATTGTAAAATTAACATGGTAAATATAAAGAAAAGGTTATAACAAAAAAGTCCTATGCAAAGTACTATTAAATGAATCTGGAAAATTTTTTTAAAAAGATCATGCCAAAGATGCAGTCAATATTGTATTAACAAACATAAAGTACAAAGTTTAAGCAACACTGATATCTACTAGAATTCTGACATATAATAACAGGTTAAAGATAAAATGTACAAACATGCATATAAAATGAATCTGACTAGCATACAGGAAAGGTAATAATAATAAACAATTTCATCCGCAATTTTTCCACAACATCCAAACTACTAAATATGATATTCTTTGTTGTACTTGAATTACTCATCCCAGAATTCATGTAATCTGATCCTCTACAACAGCAGCAAATTTTATTTTACTTCATGGGGGACCAAGCAGTGGGAAGGAGTAGACGACTTTTGGTGCAATAAGGTTTGTCTGTTGAAAAATCATGAGAAAAACATTTGTTAGATATATGTTAAACAGACAGCTATTAAAAAATTTGTATTGTCAAGTACAATTCTGAGAATTTATTTATCGAAACTTTATTTTTATTAAAAGATACTCTGGGAAATGTTGTGCCAGAGGTACGCAATTAAAAAAATTCAAGTACTAGCCCACAGGCTAGTGACAGTAATAAAATCACTAACCCCAAGTAAAAAGTTACTATCCCAATGTAGGAGAAAAAAAGTAACAACTAATACTGAAAGAAACTTGGGGTACTGTGAGCAATGAGCTCACAAAATGATACCCCCCGCCTCGTAAATGTTTGTAATGGCAAAGTCCATGTTTTGCTAAGGGAGACCCGAAATATGTGTCTGATCAGAAAGTGAAATAGGAAATGCACAATAGCACTATGTAAGAAAGATTCTGTGAAAGTATCATTAAATTTTATTCAGAGGTATAAGAGGAGTTGTGGATAAGAGATGGGTACCCCTCAATATTATCAAAAGAATGACATTGTCCATGTTTTGCTATGGGAAACCCTAAATATGGGTCCAATCAAAGAGTAAAATAGGAAGTCACAATGGCACTAAATAACAAAGATTCTGTGAAAGTCTCATTAAATTTCATTCAGTGGTATAAGAGGAGTTGCAGATAAGAGATGGGTACCCCAAAGCGTAACAGATGGACAGACAAACGGACACCCCCATCACTATATACATCCTGCTTTTTAAGCGGGGGGAGGGGGTATAAAAAATGCACTCACATGATCCTTCCGCTGCACTGGTTACAATGTCGTCAACAGATTTGTGATGCCACAGCTGGTATGCTACAAAAGGTTTAAGAAATATAACTTAATTTCTTCTTTAACAATTTAAAAAGAAAGGGATGCCCATGGGCCACAACATTCACATGAGAACTTAATTCTACACTGCCTAAGTATGCTTCCACATAAATGTGGCCAATCATTGCTTTTTTAAAGATTTTTCTTATGTATTCCTATGCAAAACTTTGATCCCCCATTTTGGCCCCACCCTACCCTTAGGGATCATGATTTGAACAAACGTATATCTATACTATCTGAAAATGATTCCACACATTTTATATTTTCTAGCCCATTGGTTCTTGAGATTTTTTAAAAGATGACATTAATTTTTCATTAATTTGTAATTTGGCCCTCCATTTGAAAAAACTTGAATTCCCTTTACCCAAGGATACTTTGTGGCAAGTTTGGTTGAAAATGGCCCAGTGGTTCTGGAGAAGAAGATGAAAATGTCAAAGGTTAACAACAAAGGTAGACAACGGACAAATTTTGTTCAGAAAAGCTCACTTGAGCCTTTGGCTCAGGTGAGATTAAAACTACATGTATATTCAACAATAATAACAGGGCCCTTTTCATCATAATACTGCTCATTCTAATATTCTCTGAAGAACATATCTAAAAGCCATTGCAAAGGATAAAACTTTTGAATGTAATATCAACATTTTGAGATATATTTGTGCCACATTCAAGACACTCTATTATAAGACAACACAGATAGAATTAATCATAACAGAGGAATAATAACACTTAATTAAAACATAAAACCAATGTTGAAAATTAAACAAGTTTCATGTTCTGCAATAAATAATCTTGATTTAAGACTTAAATTTCAAGTGTGCAATTTTCAGTATACAAATATTCAAAATAAATGCATTTTTTGACTGTTACAAATCTGTTAGTAGTTTGGACTTTCAGTAGGCAGTGACATGCATATATCTATGTACAGTACTGTATTACCATCCTTAGCTGCATCATTTTTGCAGTTTGGTCCAGGTTGGACTTGTACATGTATTATATGGGAATGGACCTACTCCAAAAACTAACATGGCTACTTCTTTGAAAAAATAAGTCAATGCAAGAAGCATGACTTGTATTGAGCATCCTTAGATGCCTCATCCATACAAGTTTTGAAAAGGTAGTGATAAAAACTTGAACCTGAGATGCTGATATCAATAGTTTGCCACAGCTCATCTCAACTTCTTGAAGATACATGTAGGTTTTTGGGGTTTTTTATTAAGTGAAACAAAAAAGCAACATTCTAAATGTGCAAAAAGAATATACCCCATAATGTTTTTTACATACATGAACTGAGAGATCCTATGAGAGAAGAAAAGGTTCCAAGTAACTGTGCATCTCCTCTAGTTACTGGAAGATCCTTCAAAGGTTTTTCTGTGCAGCAAAGTTCATACACACCTGGAATATGTAGATGATCATGTGTCATGCCGTTTAATTAATAATAATTTAATTTTGGTTGTAATGCACCATTTCATTGAATAAAAAATTCACTCCATATCATAAACTGTGTCACCTGCATCACAATGACTTGTGTCAAAAACGCATCCACCTGACGTTACATTTAAATTTGTACAATACAAAGTCATTTTTAAGAGCAATCACCTAATTTTTTTACACTAAGTGAATGAAATTAAATTATAAGGAATGAATTTAATAGCACCCGTCCCAATTTATATGGTATAAAATGGGTTGGAACATTTTACTCTTTTTTATAAACCGCTTCGCTGTTTCTAAAGGGTAAACTGCCCCAACCCAGTTTATACCGTATAAATTGGGTAGCTATTAAAATTAATTCCTTAAATAATTAAAACAAGGCATCATTGAGATGGTGACCATCTCAAAGGGCCCTGCATTTAGCAAAGAACATTAGGATGAAAGTCCCTTTATCCAAGGCTCTTTGGGTGAAGTTTGAGTCAGATGGTGCAAATGGAAGAAAAAAACATAGGTAATCGGAGATTACAGAGCTCACCTCAATGAATGTTGTCTTTAAGTAAGGCAAAGTCCCACACTAAACTAATAATCTAGGAGTGTGCATCCCTAGATGCAACATTTATGCAATTTTGGTCTGATAGGGCTTGCAGTTACTTGGGAATAGACTTATCTGAAAACTTAAAACTAGTCACTCATTCAGAAAATGTAAGTCAAATCCAGCATTCGAAGCAAGTTTTGAGATTGTTCGTCCCTTGATGCATCATCCATGCAAGTTTGGTTCAGATAGGCCTTATAGTTACTTGGAAATGAGATCTGCTCCAAAAACTTTAATCTGGTTACTCATCCGGAAAATGTAGGTCAGATCCAGCATCCGAAGCAAGTCCAGTAGCGTGCATCCTTAGATGTATCATCCATGCAAGTTTGGTCAACATAGGGTTTATAGTTACTTGAAAATGACATCTGCTCCAAAAACTTTAACCTGGTCACTCATCCTGAAAATGTAGGTCAGATCCAGCATCCAAAGCAAGTCCAGTAGTGTGCATCCTTAGATGTATCATCCATGCAAGTTTGGTCAACATAGGGTTTATAGTTACTTGAAAATGACATCTGCTCCAAAAACTTTAACCTGATTACTCATCCGGAAAATGTACGTCAGATCCAGCATCCGAATCAAGTCCAGTAGTGTACATCCTTAGATGTATCATCCATGAAAGTTTGGTCAATATAGGGTTTATAGTTACTTGGAAATGACATCTACTCCAAAAACCTTAACCTAGTCACTCATCCAGAAAGTGTAGGTCAGATCCAGCATCCGAAGCAAGTTCAGTAGTTTGCATCCTTAAATGTATCATCCATGCAAGTTTGGTCAATATAGGGCTTTTAGTTACTTGGAAATGAGATCTACTCCAAAAACCTTAACCTGGTCACTCATCCGGAAAATGTAGGTCAGATCCAGCATCCGAAGCAAGTCCACTAGTGTGCATCCTTAGATGTATCATCCATGCAAGTTTGGTCAATATAGGGTTTATAGTTACTTGGAAATGAGATCTGCTCCAAAAACCTTAACCTGGTCACTCATCCAGAAAATATAGGTCAGATTCAGCATCTGAAGCAAGTTTAGTAGTGTGCATCCTTAAATGTATCATCCATGCAAGTTTGGTCAATATAGGTCTTTTAGTTACTTGGAAATGAGATCTGCTCCAAAAACCTTAACTTGGTCACTCATCCGGAAAATATAGGTCAGATCCAGGATCCGAAGCAAGTTCAGTAGTGTGCATCCTTAGATGTATCATCCATGCAAGTTTGGTCAATAAAGGGCTTATAGTTACTTGGAAATGAGATCTACTCCAAAAACCTTAACCTGGTCACTCATCCGGAAAATGTAGGTCAGATCCAGGATCCGAAGCAAGTTCAGTAGTGTGCATCCTTAGATGTATCATTCATGCAAGTTTGGTCAATATAGGGCTTATAGTTAGTTGGAAATGAGACCTGCTCCAAAAAATTTAACCTGCTCCAAAAACTTTAACCTGCTACAAAAACATCAACCTGGTCATTCTTCAGCTGAAATTGCAGCATCTGAAACCTTGACTGGTACAATGAAACTAGAAGCATCCTCCATGCATCTCTGACTAATATAGGCCATAGAAGTACTTGAAAAGAAAACTGCTCCAAAAACCTTAACCTGGGACGCCGACGCCGAGGGTATTACATAAGCTCCCCCAACTTCGTTGAGGTGAGCTAAAAATTGCCCAAGAAGAATTTTAAAGACATTTATATTTGCTATAATCTGACCAAGGACACAACACACCTATGGGTACTCTTATGGGTGAAGTTTGAGACAGGTAGGGCAAAGGGGACAGAAAATATGCTCCAGACAAGGATTTTACACAAATTGAATACTGGTTTGAAGTCATTGCATACCCTATTCCCACGGGTACTCTACAGGTGAAGTATGAGCCTGACTGGGCCAAGGGGGGAGAAAATATATAATTTGGACAAAGATTTTCTACAGAGATGTTTTTCAATTAACCATTGCATGAAAAATTGGTTAAAGGTCACTGCACACCCTCTTTCCATAGGCACTCCATGGGTAACCTTTGATCCCAACTGGGCCAAGCCCAAGGGGAGAGAAAATATGCTCAGGACAAGGACTTCACAGAGAGGTTTTCGACCTTGACCTTTGGTCCAGAAAATTGAATAAAAGTCACTGCAAATCCTCTACCCACTGGTAGAGGGTGTCTATGGGTGAAGTTTGATTCCAACTGGGCCATGGGGAGAGAAAATATGCTCCAGACAAATGAAATCAGGTGGACAAATGGACAGAATGATCCCTATACAGCACTCGCAGAGTGGGGCCCTAGAAAGGTGAAAGTTAATATAGCTATGGACTCGCTGACTGCTGTCAAACTTCCTTGCTACCTGTGGTTTACTATTAGTTTGTATGAAACACCCTCAAAAGCCTAAACAAAAGAAAAAGAGACAGCTTTTAAAGATACAAGTACTAGACTTAGTATAGTTTACGATGAATTTGACTATTAAATTTTACCAGAGAAAGATGACAAAGAGCAAAGAAACACTGACAATAAGAAACTATAACTTAATCATTTACCTTTTCAAATAAATATAAATCTTTCTTGGATTTCAAAAATGGGATCAGTATTAACGGAACTTACATTTATTTGACTTCTTTTTTCATCTTCATTTTCTGTTTGCACAAAATTTGTTAATTTTTAATACATGTACTTTCTTTCTGCATAAGACTACTCTTATGGAATTTTTTTTTTACACTGTCTGCATAATCTTGCTGGTCAGTTCCTTATTTAGCTATCTGCTGATCAGTTTCATACCTCCACTGTCTGTCTGCACTAGGCTACTCTTTCTGGTCAGTTTCAGTAAAGCATTGTCTTGACGATCCAACATTGGCAAAATTTTTTTAATGTACTGAGCAAGCCAATCAGGATCATTTCCTAGTGCCTGTCTCACATCAGCTCTATGTTTCAAACAATCTGCAAATTCATTAAAAATATATAGATATGTTTTACTGTACATTAGTTGATTTTGCTGTAACTATTTGTGCATGTCCAGTATATTTAAGTAAATATCTGCTTAAAGTTCTACTATACATTAATAAAACAGTCTTTCTTGTTGTAGAAGTGGAATGCAGTTAAGTGAGCTAGTTTACCATATTCCCATATATGAACAACATCATTGATTCCTCCAATCTCACTGGTCCAGTACCCTATCAGTTTAGAATGTTTGGTTCGTAAGTGCAGGTGTTCTGCTGAGAGTTGAATAAAAGCTTTGAAGTCTTTAGGATAAATGCTGTAAGTCCGCAGTTCATACACTGGTTCATCATGTATACCACGACTGTTTACAACCCTTGAAAAACACCTTGAAATGAGCTGGAAATAAATAAAAATATACCTAAGATATTTTTTTTCCATTTACAAGTTATAATCTAGTCTGTTCGTGTTTATGCATTTCATTATGAATTTGTATACAGCACCTTGTTTACCACTTGCTATCTTGAGATATGCTGATGATTTGGTTGAACAGATATCTTTTTATGAGTGTAATGGTTTGGGCCTAAGATATTGATATGATTCGATATGAATAGTGATCCAGGGGTCCTAGCTGGGTTCCATTCCCAGTCCAGCCATACATTTCCTCCATTCCTGTTACAGATTTGGTGCCGTGCCATGCCCTGGAAGTGATAAAAAGACCTGACAGGTAGAGCCTGGGTTGGTGTCTTTGGGGGTAAAGACATTTAAGGAGGGAGGAATATGGCAATCAGACACATTTGATTCCTGGTGGCCTGGATAGCTTAGTTGGTAGAGCACCTGACTAGTGATGCTGGGGTCCTAGGTTTGATTCCCTGTCCAGCCATATATTTTCTCCCTTCCTGTTAAAGATTTGCTGCCATTGACCACCCCTGGACTTGCAGGTGAAAAGCCTGCCAGGGGGCAATTAAGAACTTGGGTTGTGTCTTCAAGGGCGAAGACAATTTAAGGAGTGAGGAATGTAATGGTTTGGACCTTGAACATAGGCCTTAGGTGTTTGAGCACCTGACTAGTGATGTAGGGGTCCATGATTCCATTTCCCATCTGGCCATACCTTTTTTCTCTCTTCCTACAGTCCTGTTACACGTGTTTTAAAAGCAAGGGTGTGAATTTCATTGTCTTTTTCTTAAAATTTTATACAGATACAGGTAGAAACTGAAAGTACTAGTAATTTTAAAGAGTTCAGACGGTAAATTTATCTGCATGAATGCCCTCATACCTTTACTACTTGAACTCCAGTTTCAGTTTTTAACTAGGCCTAGTAAAATACCACAACTTGACCACAGGTACTTGTGGACATTTCAACTTCTTTATCAAAATTTTCCTGAACTTTTTCGTACATACACCTCTGGCTTTTCCCTTAATTCTATAACACTCGGAACTCGATCGTTACACGCTAGGTGTCGTTTTTGCATCACTTCCGTAATTTCTACTTTGACATTTCCAAATCTTGTAGCATTTTTCCTGTTTGACGATGAATACTCGGATTATTGTGGAATGCCTAGACAATTAAATAGCACGATTAAAGACATAAATATCTGCCGAAACAAGATATCATGACACATTTTGGTGACATGTAGTAGTTAAATGATATTTCAGGCCTGATATCCCAGAGGGGTCCAGTGTTAACAAATGGAAGTGACTTACCTTCTCTATTTTATAATGCCTCGGGTAGGATTTTTTAATAAAACGTTAATTCTACGTTATTTTTTTTACTTTTCATATGGAATACATTGTAAATGTGTACTAGAAGAATAATTTATGAAAAAAGACATAAAAATTAATTTCTGACCCGATGTGTATATTCGGGGGGGGGGGGGGGTTGTTCCTGCCCACATGACAAGCAGTCTGTTGCATGTGCATATGAATTTTCAAGGTATAGTTTAAATTAATCACAAATTTTACTCAATCTCATAAATTGTTGCGAAACCTACACTGAAAATTTCATACACATACCCGTCCATTCTTCGCTAGTGCATTCACGTATGCTGCCATTCTCATGATTCTGGTCAAATCTGCATCTAGAAAAGTAGGTCAAAACTTAGTGAGGTACAGTGTACTGTATCGGAGCTCCAAGGTTCTTCCTTTCGAACTTGAAAACATCCGAAACGTTCCGATCTGCGCTTGCCAACTACCAAACGGATTTCTCCATGGCGAATTTTCATTGGGTTTTGGGTGAAGACTTGACCAATTGGATCATTCGAAAGAATTTGCAGTTTGTGAAAGGAATAATCATGGCGGCGAGATGTAAACATTCCTAAAGTCTGAAAAGAAACATGATTTTTAGTTTATTTTTGCAAAGGAATCTGATTTTATCCGACTCATTTGCTATGCAACTGATAAATGAAATTTCATTTACACTGCATATCCGTTCATTTTCATCTTAAAACTTGGAGTTTAAGGGTATGTTCGCACAGGCTAAATGAGCAGATGAGATTTGCGTGATCTGATGATTTTGATATCGGATCATGTTGAAAGCTGGCATGTATTTCAAATTGATAATTTTGTACCCAGGGTTAAGGAACTAAGATAAAACGTGTATCGTCAAAATGATATTGTCCTACGCACCCGGTTTTACAAGTAAACGATAGAATTCGTTCCCTGTGTTCACATGGTTCATGGTGTGGTCAGTTTGTAGGAAAATAAATAGGGACAGATAATTCTAATCAACACGTTTACTAAAAATAATTAAGTGAGTTTTGAATATCAACATGGCGTGTAAATTCTAAGTGAGAAAAAAACGTTGAAGAATGAGTTGAATTTGTCTACCTGTTGGCCAGGTCCAGTACAATCAGTACATTTAGCTACATAGCTAAAATTACCTACCGTAGCTTTATTTACCTACTTCAGGTAGCTTTATTTAGCTATTTCAAGGTAACTTTTCACAATTTTTCCTATTATTTTAAAAAGACAAAAAATCGCAAATAAATGACTTTTGATAGTTATACTAGAGATTATTTAAAAAGCAATCCAATGCACAGATAGTTTTAACATTGCTGCGTTTGAACACTTTTAAGGAAAAGATGTATTTCCATTGTTTGAGTAACTGTACACCACCTTGTGTGCAGTGAGGCATGGATAAGTATGATTGCTTCTCGTGCTCATGTTAACTTGAACTGGTTTTTTTTTTTTTTTTTGTTATTTCATTCAAGAAGTAACTGATTGGTGGTCACAAATTAACTGTTGTTTATAGCCCCAAAACTTGTAGAACTTTGATTGAAATTGCGCAGAAAAAGACACATCCCCAATAGTGATTTTTTCATGAATTGTTTTCAGATGAGCTTAAACAAGTTAAAGTTGAAAATTATCACTGCGTCAAAGTGCAATTTTCTGCACCTCCTGAGAAAAATGCTAATTTAAGAAAAAAGTTTGATTCAGTAGCTAAATAAAGTTACTTCAGGTAGGTAAATAAAGCTATGTAGGTAGTTCAAGCTACGTAGCTAAATCTAGTGATTGTACCAGACCTGTTGGCATGAGTCCATTTGCACACAGTCTGTTTGCCATAATTCTCATTTACCCTGTACCATGTTCATCATCTTGTTAGCCCTATTGAAAATATTATCAGGGGCCTATATATTAATGGAATAGGCAACTCTTGCAAGTCTCATGATATCTCGTAAGTTGCAGTATTTTGTAAGCCAATTTTAATTAAATCATCTCCAATACTATCAAATATTTCAGACCAAAACCTTAATTTATCTATCAAAAAATTATTCAAGATTTGTTGTTGGCAATGTATGTACTCCTTATCTTAGTAGTAATTACGTTTATTTCAAAATAGGCATGTGCCTTTGATCGGCAGTATTTCCGAGAATTCATCCATTTTGGTGTTTGATTTATATTTAGATTATAATGTATGCTTTAAAATTCATTAAAAATACATTCCAATACAAAAAGAACAGATTATACTAATCCGAAAACGGGCTTTTTACTGGGAATAAACATACTTTGAAAAACTTGCAGTGTTGTGCATGACATTTTGGGTAAATGAACATGGCACTATTGGAGTTGCCTATCCTGTTAGTATATAGGTCCCTGCAGTTATTGTATATTAACATTTCTGTTGAATTTTAACTTAAAGTTTTTAAGCCGTTTATAGATCAAGTAAAGCATTGTCTATTTCCTTTCAATAAATAAATTGACTATTTCTAATTTTTATTGTTCATCAAAGATGTATTTTTTGATTATTGTTAATTTAAAAGAATTTAATACACTGTAAATTATAAGAACAGCTTTTATCTAAGACTTTGTTTGTTTTTCATTTATTTGTGTCATATTGTTAAAGAAATTGAGATGTTAATAAGCTATTTTTGGAATGAACAGATCGAGGTTTTTATCTTTGAAGATTCTCTTATTCCTGCATTAGAATATATAACGTTACTTATAAATTAGTGAGTATATTTAGCAGACGTTGATTACTACAATTAAAAATCTTCTATTAAAATTATTCATTTAATGGATGCATGCATTTTTTCATCCATACTGTATGTACAAATGTAATGAATTTTAATTCATACAGAAAAATTCATGAAATTCAATAAAATGAACATAAATTACAAAAATTAACCAACAAACGTATTCAACATAAAATAGGGTGAATGCACCTTCAGCAAAAGAATTTCAGAGCAAACAGTAATAAGGGCAAACATGCTCTAGGCTGAACGAACATACATTCAATTAATTTGGCAGTTATTTTCAGTGTAATTCCTTTTATATTCTTCAAAATTCTTTGGAGCGAATCTGCATGCATACTTCCATTTCCTACGTTGCAACTCTATGGGACATATTCTAACTGTGATGAGGGCTTGTCCCATAACACAGTTAGATTATTCTAACTACAAGGACCTATTTTACTGAAATTATAGCACAATAGTATATGTGTTCACATTGGGGTATATTCATTTTCATCGCAGACACTAGACATAAGATGATAATTTTTTTAAATGAATAACATGCACATATTTAAATTTAGTAAAGATCAAATTAAATATCTTGGTTAAACCATTTAAAACTTTTTTATTTTATAATGAGATCTCACTTAGCTGGTGCATTATTTTTATTCTAGCATAACATATATTAAGAATGGCGTGGAGAGGATTAGAAGGAGAAGATTTGAAGAATAACATTCGACAGCTTGTAATTGATTTTGAGCCTCACATAAGAGAAGCTGGAAACTTTGAAATTGCTGAGGAGACCTTGCTCCACCTAGAAGAAAATGAGCAACATTTTCACAGGTTAAAAATGTCTTTTGAGTGTATGTAAAAATAAACTTTCAACTGAATTAGACCAAAATGCATTCATTTTGTCCAAATATAATTTTATAATATTGATTATGATAATAAGATATGATCATGATTTACTCCATCTAAAACAAAGTTTAAAATTTAAAGATTTTTCAATACATTATTTGAATAAATATTGTGAGTTGCAAGTTGCATGTCTCTTGTTTGTAGATTTGAGTTTGTAAAACAACTGAAGAGAAAGATTGATGAAGCTTTGAGTCCTTTGATTGAGGATGAGATTGAAAAGTTTGCTATGGCTGGTCAAGTTGACACATCAGGACAAGAGACCTTGGTTAGCAAGATCACACAATGCGTCATCCATTCCAAACCGTACGTACAATGTATAAATAAGCTTTTATAAGGGTCAGCCCAAACATATTCATTTTATGGGAAAGGTTTTCTAGTAAATGTTGACTTTTCTCCCTACTCTTATTCTAATGAAACTTTGAATATACTCACCAACATGATCTGTTGTATTTTAAAAAATTTAGATACAAAACATTTTCTTTCAGTTATTGTGACATGTCAAGAAAAATGAAAAGATACATAACAGAGGCTGTGGAAGAGTTGATAAAAAATTTTGATGCAGAATTTGGATCTGGAAAACACAAAGAAACCTCTGATCCTCTGATATATCATCGCCATAGTCATCATGTTGATAGTGATGAAGAAGAGTCCTCGTATGACAGTTCATTTCATCAGGTGACAATTTCAACCTCAAAAAAAATTATGTGACATTGATCTTGAGTCAAATTTCATTTAGAATGTTCTTCAGAAAAAATGTGAATTATTAGAATGTTAATTCATGTTCAATGTTATGGGCAACTTGCATGTAGACTCAAACAATTTTTATGTAAACAGTACTTTTTGTTATTAGGGGATGCTATTGCTGCCAAACAGTGAGGAATTGCAGTCAGTTGCAGACAAGCTTCATAAAAGCAGAGACATTCAGGTAGTGTATAGATCACTCACAATATAATTCAATTCAATTCAATTCAATTTAATAGTTTATTTACCAATTAAGGGCCCTCATGGGGCAAAAAGAAAGTACATTGTAAATTAACATTTATATATACATGTAGTCATATACATGTAATACAATATACATACACAAAAGAGAGAAAGAGTTGCATGATTGAAAGGAGAAAGACATAAAAAGGAATAAACCAGATAGTTTTTATACATATACATGTATATAAATTCTGCACAAATAATATCATACATCATATATATGCAAATTTACATATTTATATCATACACATATTAAAGTACATATTTTTTTTTACATAATTTATCATAAAACAGTTCACATGCCTCAGACTTGAGTTATGGTAATGCTTTTTGTAAAAATCTTCCAAGAGAATTCAAAATATCTAATTCCTCACAGTTTAGAATCCAGAATAATTTTTGTTTATCAGGCAATTTTGTAAAATGTTTTACTTTGGATGAGATTAAGTTAAATAGGTCTTCTCTTTCCTTTGTGAATTTGCTACAGTGAATAAGGAAATGTTCTTCATCTTCAATTTGATTAAGCATACAATTTTTACATATTCTTTCTGTTCTAGGTGTGTTATTATATCTGCCTAAATCTGTAAAGAGCCTGTGTGCTGATACACATAATCTACAAATTGGCTTTCTGTATTCAGGTTTTAATAAAATTAGATATTTTTCTAGTCTAAAATTGTTCTTCAGAAACAAATAAGTGACAAGTTTACCCTCTTTTAGTGTTTCATTTAAGTGCTGCCAATCCATAGGGTATTTTTCATCTGGGATTGTTTTAATGAAGTTACAAATTTACTCTTAGTATATGACATAATGTTTTGAATATCAAGAATTCTTAGTAATTTTTCTATCGAGGAATACCAAGTTGTTCTTTTGGCGAGATGAAGTTCCTAACTACATGTGAATGCATCTTTTAATAAAGGAAAATCTGATGTAAAATTTTCTAGTCTGTAGCAGTATTTAAGTAATCTATTGACAATATCATAATGTAAAGGATATCTACCCAGTTCTGAAAGAGAAGCATGGTTCATACTTTTCCTATTCAAACCTAATATAGTTTTACAGAATTTGATGTGTAAATTTTCACCTATAAAGTTTTTGTAGCATAGTTGCATCAATACATCATCAGATTGCTTTATTTCTGAATTATTAACATTAAATATTCCCCATATTTCTGAGCCATAAAGTAATATAGGTTTAATAGTGTGATCAAAGACATTTAGACTGGTGGATATCCCAGTATTTAAGCTAAGGAAATCTTTTCTTAGTTTGAAGAATGCTTTTAGTTCCTTTTTGTATAACTCAAGTTTAGCCATTGAGAAAGTCCCTGAGGCTATGAAATGGATGCCTAAAGTATTTATAACTTGATACACATTCAATATTGAAATTTTTTTTAATGAAATTTATGTTTAATTGTTCTCCCAGCTTTATTAAAAATGATCATTTTTGTTTTATTAGAATTTACTTTCATACCCCAGTCATCACAATATTTCTCTAAAGAGTTTAATCTTTGCTGAAGTCCTCGTGGTGATGATGAAAAAATTAATTAAAACACAATTTTTTACATTTTATTTTCTTCTTTATGCTTTGTGCTTAATATAATTATTTTGTCAATGCAGTTTTCTATATTTACACTTGTGCAATGCGTGTAAATGATTTTTGTTTCTGATATTTTTATCTGCAGTCTAAGACAGAAGCCATGCAGATTTTGAATCAGAACATGCCAGCTGACTTCATTAACAGTGACTACTGGCCCCAGATTCGGAAAAATTTGCTGGATGTCATGACCGAGCCAGAGGAACTACTCACAGTAAAATACATTTTTTTTAAAAAAAAATTGTGTTTAACAGAATCATAGATGATGGATGACAAAATGATCAAAAACAGTGTAACTTATTTAGCAAAAGTTTGAAATGTCCTGTTGATTAACAGAGCATTGCAACTATCATTGAAGCCTCACTTTCAGCATGATTCATTGTAATATTTGATATTTTTCATATATACATGTACATGTACAAATACATGTACATGTAATAATGTTGTGCAATTCAAAGATATTCTAGAATTGCTAAATAATGAATTGTTTTCTTTCGTATGTAGCACCTGCCTCTGAAGTTCATAACCAGAGCTTTTGTGACAACATCACCACAAACTAGAGAAATTTATACAATGCTTGGTGAGAAAGTCCATTTTTATTACCAGTAATTGTATAGTTTTTTAATATGACTACTAATACTTATAATTTTATTTTATTTATTTTTTTTTTTTTTTTTTTTTGAAGACATTTATTTTAAGAAAAATAAAGTGTTTTTTTTTTAGAGAGAGGAAAAAAACCAAGACAATTCCACCTATTTTATGCACAGAATATTTCAAAATAAGTACCTTATAATTAAATGTCTAATTTTGCAGCTGAGTATCTGATAGGACAGTTTCAAACACGGAAAGGAACGATACCAAAGATAAAGAATGGTCTAGACATAACAAATTCTGCAATAGCTAAACTACTTAAAGCAGTAAGTTTTTTTTTTTTTTAGAGTTTATTGCTGCAAGAAATAAACAGAAAATCTGACATTGAATTTTAAAATAAATATATACAGTCAAACCTCGTTATCTCGAATTTCACAGGACCAAGAAAATACTTCGAGATACCCGAGGATTTGAGATATTCAGGGTAGAATACTTAAGAAATAAGCGCTTGGGACTTCAAAATAACTTCGATATATCCATGGTATTTGAGAAATCCGTGTTCGAGATACCGAAGTTCAACAGTACTTTTAAATAAGTGCACTCAAATTTATAATTTAAGATAAAACTACATGTATGCCAAACACAGTTTGTCCTGTTTGTTGTGTAAAAAATTGATAGAGTCATCATACAGAAAATTGTTAGGTCACCTGAGTCACTCAGGTGACCTATTGCTATCCGTTTTCGTCCGTCGTCTTCCGTCGTGCGTTGTGCGTCGTGTGTTAAATTTGAACATTTTCAGCTTCTTCTCTGAAACCGCTGAACCAATTTCAGCCAATTTTGGCATATAGCATCTATGTGTGAAGGGGAACAAACTTTGTGAATTTCACGGTCCCTGCCCCCCTGGGGCCTGAGGGGTGGGGCTAAAACCACTAAAATTATTGCAATCTTTAAAAATCTTATTCTTTACTCCTGGACAACAAGGGGTAAAACTGCTGGCATGATTGTAATAAGCATTGAGCCCTCTACCAAAATTGTGAAATTCATGGCCCCAGGGTCATGGGTTCTGGTGCTAGGGCAGGGCTATATAGATCATATAGTGAAAGTGCATTATTTCTTTGAAAATCTTCTTCTCTACTCCTGGGTATTATTGAAACATATTGAATACATAGTTATGATAAGCAAGGGTGACTCTACCAAAATTGTGAAATTCATGGCCCCAGGATCAGGGGTTCTGGTGCTAGGGCGGGGCTATATAGATCATATAGTGAAAGTGCATTATTTCTTTGAAAATCTTCTTCTCTACTCCTGGGTATTATTGAAACATATTGAATACATAGTTATGATAAGCAAGGGTGACTCTACCAAAATTGTGAAATTCATGGCCCCAGGGTCAGGGGTTCTGGTGCTAGGGCGGGGCTATATAGATCATATAGTGAAAGTGCATTATTTCTTTGAAAATCTTCTTCTCTACTCCTGGGTATTATAGAAGCAAATTGAACACATAGTTATGATAAGCAAGGGTGACTCTATCAAAATTGTGAAATTCATGGCCCCAGGGTCAGGGGTTCTGGTGAAAAGTGGGGGGGGGGGGGCTCTATTGATTATATAGTGAAAAAGCAAAATTTCTTTGAAAATCTTCTTCTCTACTCCTGGTTATTATTTAAACAAATTGAATACATAGTTATGATTAGCAGGAGTGACTGTACCAAAATTATGAAATTCATGGCCCCAGGGTAAGGGGTTCTGGTGCTAGGGCAGGGCTATATAGATCATATTGTGAAAGTGCATTATTTCTTTGAAAATCCTCTTCTCTGCCCCTGGGTATTATTTAAACAAATCAAATACATAATTATGGTACACAAGGATGCCTCTTCCAAAATTATGAATTTCATGGCCCCAGGATCAAGGGTTCTGGTGAAAAGGTGGGGGGGGGGGCTCTATTAATTATATATTGAGAAAGCAAAATTTCTCTGAAAATCTTCTTCTCTACTCCTGGTTATTATTTGAACAAATTAAATACATAGTTATGATAAGCAAGGGTGACTCTACCAAATTTGTGAAATTCATGGCCCCAGGATCAAGGGTTCTGGTGAAAAGGGGGGGGGGGGGGGGGCTCTATTGATTATATAGTGAAAAAGCAAAATTTCTTTGAAAATTTTCTTCTCTACTCCTGGTTATTATTTAAACAAATTGAATACATTGTTATGATAAGCAAGGATGCCTCTTCCAAAATTGTTAAATTCATGGCCCCAGGGACAGGGGTTCTGGTGCTAGGGTGGGGCTATATAGATCCTATAGTGAAGGTGAATTATTTCTTTGAGAATCTTCTTCTCTGCCCCTGGGTATTATTTAAATAAACTAAGTACATTGTTATGATATGCAAGGATGCCTCTTCCAAAATTGTGAATTTCAGGCTCCCAGGATCAAGGGTTCTGGTGAAAAAGGGGGGGGGGGGGCTCTATTGATTATATAGCGAAAAAGCAAAATTTCTTTGAAAATATTCTGGTTAAAAAGCAAAGAAGCTAAGTGTATAGTTATGATGAGCAAGAGTGCTCCTTCCAGAGTAGTAAATTTCATGACCCCCTGGGTCAGATGTGCTGGTGTAAGGGTGGGGCTCTTGATAATATAGTGAAAATGCATTAATTCTATTAAATAATCCTGTCTGCTCTTAGTGTTAAGCATACAAACAAAGTGATTACTTATGATGAGCAAACTTCTGGTCCCAGGGTGAGAGGCTCTGGTGTTTCTCGGTGGGGGGGGGGGGGGGGCTCTATTGATAATATAGTGAATATAGTGAATCTGTAGTAAAAATGCATTATTTCTTTAAAATCTTCTCTGCACCTGGGCATATCAGAGGCAAAAAGAGTAAAAGTTTTAATAAGGAAGGGTATTTTTACCAGATTTTTGAACATCTGGACCATTTCTTCAAGTGTTCTGGTCCTGGCCAGGGCTCTATTAATTTGTATTCTACTGAGAGGAGTTATTCCCCTTTGCCATTTACTTTTGATAATTAATCACTGTAAATAATGTACTTGAAAGATTAATAGAATAAGAGAATTATGCAAGAATTGTTATTGTATAATACAAAAAGTACTTTCTTAGTTTTAATGATCAGGTAGACTTGTAAGTAGTAGATAAATAAAAATCAGACAAAAATAACTTGTCTTATGAAATGTTCATCAAAGACCAAGGGAGGCTAATGTAAGAGATTTCAACAAGGAATTAAAATATTACAGAAGCACTGATAGTTTGTTAATATACTTATGGTGAGAGAGATAAATGGGGAAGAGATTAGAACCTAATTTATGAACTGTTAATGAATACTAGACTAATTATTTTGTTGATCCTGATCACCCTATTTTTCTTGCATTTGGGCAACAAAGGTTCACCTTTTAGTTCATTTTATACTCTATGGATTCTCTAAATTGTTGTATGATACTCAGGTGACCGTTAAGGCCTTTGGGCCACTTGTTTTATTTTCAGTTTCGCTTGTTGAATGAGTTCCAGCAAGAAACGACTAATTACTGGATACGTTATCCAGACAGGTTGGTATTCAGTGTAAAACAGAGGCCTGTTCAACAGAGCGAACGTTCGCGAGCACTCGCCAAAATTCTTTATCCCTTCAACAGAAATATTTGCGAGTGCTCGCTCTGTTGAACAGGCCTCAGATCACATATTTTTCTGAAAAAGAAAGAATTTAGAGTATAATCTTCAACAACATTTAAAATCGATGATTTATTTATACATTCACAGTGGTGATAAGTTTACATGATTGTTTAGAATTTCTGTTATTATAATTTTCAGATACATAGAAGAAATCCTGGAGAGTACTTTGAACCTGTTTTCTATTCATCAGATGGGAGGACCTGTAGGAACATCTGCCCAGTTGTCCCCCATTCATTTCATTGCAATCATTGACCCCAAGGCGCAATGGTTCATTAAGTGGATGGTCAGTTTTCCTATGACATGAATATTTTGTAAATGTTTAGAAACAAGAAACATTTTAGAATTAGCTATAATTCATTTATTTGTGTTTCATAATAGTAAAAGCTTTTAGATATAAAAAGTTTTCTTAATTGCAAATATGTATATGTATTGGTAAGGATTAATTTACAAGCTTTTTGATTCAGGAGAAACTACATGTAGTTTGAAAGCTTTGAAATAGAATTTTAAGGGTTTTTTTTTATTTTCATTTTTTTTTATTTAGCATGGCAATTACAGTCGTCATAGATTGTTGAAATTACTGGAAAAGTATAGACCCATTGTAAGTAAAATTCTTCCATTTGTATCAGTAAGAAAAAAAATCAGTAACTCTTTAAATAAAAAACTAAAAGGACGACCTGTGTATTTTCTTATGCATGGAATAAGTAATTATCATTAATTCAAATTATGATTTGTATTACCATATCATTTAAAAAAAAATTATTAGTTCCTTATTTCTGATTATCGTCACTTTTATGATCATAAAGTCTTTACACAATCATATATACAGTCAATAATCAATTTCTTTGATTGTTGTAAAAATGATGTATTTTGTAGGTTGTAAATGCTGTGCGTCATTGTCTGGATTTTTCAGCCAATCGTAAACTTCCTTTTGATCTGATGAGTGATTTTTCCGACACTTACTCAAAGATTAACGTTGGAGGTGTTCATCATTTTGAATTTTGGATATTGAAATTACAAAGCTATCCTCTCGCACAGATTCACTCATTTAATATAAACTACAATATCATAAACTTTTACTGTGGAATCATTTTAATTTGTGGGGGTCAGTGTTTGTGGGCAAGCAAAATTTTACATGTTCGTGGGAGTATGATTTCGTGGGTCACTCGTTTAAACGATAGATTCAATAAATCATTATGTTTACAAAATAAACGTTCTTGGGGATGTTAATTCGTGGGTAAGGGTGAACCACGAAATCCACGAACATTGGTCCCCCACGAACAATGATGATTCCACAGTATATCACAATTAATGCAACATTGAACATTAAGGTTAATGAATTCCCAGACTATGTCTAAAAAAATTTATAGTGTTTGTTAATTATTTGTAGGTGGTAGAAGAAGCTATTATGCAGGAGCAGAGCTGGAATATGCCTATTTTATTCATTCCGTTCATTTACTTGGTCGTTTGCTATGCTTCACAAATGGCCGCAAATTTTTCCCCATCAAGCTAAAAGATTCAGAAGGCATGTATAATGTATAAGAATAAGAAAAATTTATTGGATTTATAAATCTCACACATCAATTTGTTGATTTCAAAATTTTCTGAAGTCTCTAATTTTTATTTTCAATCACTAAAGCTTTCAAAAATATTTTTGAATGATTTGATTATAAAATGATTTTGATGACAATTATTGACAAAGTTAAATGATATTGGATGTGCCAGTTTCTTTTAATCACGTACATATTATTTACAGACCCGATTACAATTAAGAAGTTGCTTGTCTCTTTGGTTTTGGTTGTGGTGGATCCAAGTTCCTTTACAACACCGGTACCTAGAGCTAATAGTTGTGAGTGAAATAAACTTTAAATTTGATTTGCTTTGATTCAAGAAGTGCTGTTCTTAATCTGTAAGATAGTGAATGATGCATATACATGTTTGCAGAATTATAGCTTCTCATGCCAAAAAAAATATGGAAACTTTGTAATGTGTGTTACTGTAAATCACTTTTAAATTTTATTTGCAAGAACTCGATTTTGGCGTAATTACACACGAGTGTCTGCTCGCGAAATTTTCATTTTCATGTATATTCTTATTGTTAAGATTACATGCAACAATTTAACCAGAATTCGTGAAAATTTTGTATTGATTATTAATACCTTATGACTTTCTTGCCAAATTAATGTGTCATGAAAATTTGGTGATCTACAGTATATGAAGCATTTTATAAAATCAAGTCAATGGTACAAGGTAGTCAGAGGACTTGATTTCTTAGAAGCAGCATTTCGGTGCTTTGAGATACTCTTATTTTTTACCTTATTCTGATATAGTGTTTTATGAACCTGCTACACTGGTGACCGAGATTCTTAAGATCCTTTGTAGCCATGAGCAGACTGCCGAGATATGTCTGTATAAGGACGAGATCACAACAGCTCTCCTCTCTCCCGTATCTCAGTTTCTGGATGCACAGGTAAAACTGTTCTGTTCATATTTAGGCATTTCTTTGATTCTTTGGCAAGAAATTATACTTGGGTCTTTTTTTGTTTGTAAGCATTGTATCAAAATTTCTTTTAGACCTCTCTCAGTTTTCCTTTATATATGAAAGTATATGTTTAAATTGTTTACCATGCCAATCTTTCATACATCTCATAGACATTTCATTCAATCATGAATTTACACTTAAAGACAGCCTAGACAATAAGACTTTAATTCTGAATAAATCAAGAGCTCTACTATTTTTGAATCTTCAACATACATGTATATGTTGCTTACGTTAAATGTAAGTTAAATTGCTTATTCTTTACTGTAATCATATGTTAAAAACTGTTATGTTGCATTCACTTTTACCCATCTATGCATACTGTTGCATCCTTAAAACTTCTGAGCATGAAATTTAGATCCTAAAATGTAGAATATACTCAATTGACTTTGAAAAATAGGTATTTGATTTCATTTTCTCCCATTTAAAATGTAAGCAATATATAGTTTTATTTTTGAGTTTGACTTCTTTTTTATGTGAAGGTTATAAAAATAGCCCCCAAAAGTCAAGACCTAAAATGATTTGTTCAAAATCCAAAGGGACATCAATATGGTCTCATTTAATCATTGAAACATTTTAATCATTGTTCAAAACTGTTGTCATTCTTCATCCAGTGTAACAAAACAGAAACAGAGGGAGAGGAAGTTGTAAGTTAATTTGCATGTTTCCATGGTATTTATTATACAGTGCATGTACTATCTTTTACAGCTGGTTGGTTTATGGTTGCCTTGTTAAATAACAGTGGTGTTATAAGTAGTTAGTATGGAACATGCTAACTTTATATTTAGATCATCATAGGGAGCTACATGTAATTAGCTTTTTTTATATAACGGAGAATACTCTTTTTGGCTGAATTTATTATTACAAAAACAAGTTGATTAATTTAGCTCGGATGAGAAGAGAGTTATACCAATTAATACATGTATGTGTAGTTGCAATGCATTTTCACTTATATATTTCAAGAATTTTTTATGTATTTCCATGAAATTATGTAGTTCCGATTATACATGTACTTCTAAAGTGAAGTAGTTCTTATAAAACAGGCTGCAAATAATGAAGTATCAAATACATGTAATATGTCAGATTTCAAATATTTTCACATCCTATAGCTTGGGCGACCAGAAAGTGATTATTCTTTCTTTGAGGTGAGATTGAATCCAAGTATTTGAGAGAAAATAGACTCAACACCTGAACCATTTTTGCCTTTGAGTTTATATTCCAAAGTAACAGACAGGTTTTCAGCTTTTGTTTTTATAATTTTGATTCTAATTAAAACTCAAAAATCTGAACAGTTTTCTAATGCTATGTTTTGTTTATTTATCCCCGTGAAGTTCATTTTATAGTGAACTCTTCCATTTTCCCTGTTAATCCCCCTCCTCCCTCCCCCCCCCCCCCCCCCCCCCTCCAAAAACAAAAACAAAAAAGTTTTATCCAATTCATCCAAGAGTGTCATGCAATTCCGAAAATTCCCATCATGCTTTAAAAACACTAATTTCTTTCAACAAGACTCTTTCACAATCTACAGTCCGAACTTTTCTCATTTTACAATGAAAACTTCAATTTTTTAATGTAGTGAAATATCTATAAATTAGCTTATATTTTCTAGATGAATAAGCCCAGAATCAGATTGTTAAATATGTGTACATGTGTATAACAAATCTAAATGTAGATATATTTACATGTAGTTATTGAATATGATTATTTAGGGATTGTTGTGTACTTAATTTGTATGTACATGTGTAAATGCTTAACTGCTACCAGTAATTAAATGCATGATGTTAATTGCATCTTTTAAAATTCACATATTTCATTTCCACCAGTTTTATTTATCAATCATTGTAGTAGATATTACATGTAATACGTATACCTGGCTTTCATTCATTTTCAATCAAATTCTTTTGCTGGAGTGTATGTAACCAGTGAATCATTTCAAAATTCACAATCATGAAGAATTTCATTTTCTTATCATAATTATATATTTATAATTAAATTGAAATGTATTTTAAGTAAGAACATTTTATTTTGATTTAAAGGAGCACAATTCTCCAGGGGAGAGCACTCTATTACACATAGCAGACATTGTATCAATGATAGCATCCAGTACAAAAGGCCGGAGACATCTGATGTATGGAGAACGCAAGGACATTTTCACACGCACAAAGTAAGAAACAAAAAGATTTTGCTTTCAAAAGATAAAGAAAAGTAATCAGTGTTTACATTTTAAATAATTACATTGTTGGATAGATTTTTTTAAAAAATATTTCTGTGGAAAGCATGTGACAAAAAAAAATGCAAGTAAATTTTTATTGTACAATGCCATTTAAATTTAAATTTTCACAATTTTAGATGCATAATTACTGTCTTAATGTATATAGAGAGATTTTATTGCAAATTATGTTTTTAGTTTAAATCTACTTTTGTCTTATTGGGAATTTAACTTTTATTGAGAGTCTTTTAAGGAGACTTAGGTAGACAACAAAAGATGATCAATTTTCAACTTTATTTGTTTTAATACCAGTATGCAGGAATAGAGCTTTATTTATTTATTTATTTTTTTGTTTTATTGATGGTTCATGTTATGTATTTTGCTTTTATTTCAAGACTGAGTTGTGATCCCTATTCCAATGTAAAAAAAAAAAAAAAAAAAATTACAAAAGTGAAAATTTCAAGGTGATTTGAGGACATGTTTTCTCGCTTTAGATCATCAGCTGCACATATCATTGCTAAATTCACAAAGAAGGCCCTGCTTGGAGAAATTCCTCGTGATGGTGGGACTGCTCCCTCAAAGAATGTGATTGGGGCATACCTTTACATCTGTCGACAGCTGTACAACACGTGTGAGGGGCTCCTGGTTCTGTATCAGTATGAACTTCATAACGTCATCGTCCGGGTCTGGAAAGAGGTCAGTTTGTTGTCAGAGTTAAGACCAATCTTAAGAGATTTTGAAACAGTAATTGCACTCGTGTTGATAATGAAATTTCTTAAAATACTAACACATATAATACTTAATGTTTGAGGTACATATTTTTATTAGATCTCATTCTAATTGTACAAATTTGCATTTGGATAGCAGTGGTAAAATTGTAGATTGGCTCGTACAGTAGCATTGTGCAATCAGAATAAGTTTCCTTATGCACTTCTTACATTTTTGTAGATACACTGTATGTGAATTTTAACAAGAGTAATTTACATATACGTAAAAAGGGTTGATGGGAAAAAAAACTCCCTCTTTAAATAAAATAATTGAACAAATTTTTTTTAAATGTATGTTGATAATATTGAATATCAAGATTTTAATTAAAATGAAATCCTTAACATAATTAAAAGAGAAAAAATCATTTTTAAACAATCAAAGTAAAAGCATTCAAGGGGGATAACTTGTAACATAGTCATATTTTTTGTAGGCTTTCAGAGAATCAGAGAGAACTGTGACCCCAACTCCTTCAGATAACAGCTCCAGTGATTCAGACTCTATCGTAACAGCCAGACATGGCAATTTGGACATGTAAGTTTATCCTTAAAAAAAAGTTAAATCCTTCTCTGAGCAATGAAGCTCATTAGGCCAGTGTTTATACACAGTTTCTGTGGTGCTAAGCAGATGAGTCTTTGTACCCTTTGGATGGGACATCAGTCCATCCCAGGTTAACCCCTCCCCTTCCCCAACATAAACTGGTACCCATTGCAGCTGGGTGGACCAAGGCAATGCAGATAAAGTGCCTTGTCTAATAACACAACACACAAAATCAAGTGCCAATAGTGGGGCTTGAACCAGCGACCTTTAGGTTACTGGCCAAACATCTATGACCACTGAGACATATGCTCCACTATATCCAGTATATGCTACATGCATATAAAAATCTTTGTCACATCGCCAATGTTTCTTTTTATAGGTTTCTTCATATGAATGTTAAGCAAAAGCTTAGGACTATAAACTACTATATTGTTATGTTGTTTCTTAAGAAATGCCTGGGAAGATACTTTGAGAGACAACTTGCTGAACTTTGCCAGTTCTGCCAAAGGGCTTCTCTTGTTACAACAGACGGGGGCCATGAATGAGTGTATGTCTTACATGTATGCTAGATACGAGAAGAAACTGCAGGTGAGAACTTTACTTAATCATGCAATCCAATAATTAATTGTTTCACATAAACTTTATTGTTTCCCACTTTCAGGAAAGTTTGGGGATATTAAATCTTGTCTGTCTCGTCTATCTGTCAGTCACATAAACCTTGGTCACAACTTTTCAATGCGAGAAAATAGGGCTTTCATATTTCACATGTGTATTTCCTGTGACAAGATCTTTCAGAATGTACAATGATTTTTTACCCTTGACCGTAGAGTTTGACCTACTTTTTCAAAAAATTTTAACTTTTAATTAAGTATTAAATTTTGAATGAAAGAAGAGAGGGGCATTTCGTACTTATATGTGCATTATCTATACCAACAAAATCTTTTCAAATATACTTTGATTTTTGACCACATGACCTTGACCTGAAGTATGACTTTCTTTTCAAAAAATTTAACTTTAGTATATATATTTTTACATGTGCATTATCTTTGTCAAGATCTTTACAAATGTACTATGATGTTTTACTTCATGACCTTGAAGTTTGACCAACTTTTCAAAAAATTAACTTGGCTGTAACATTTGCATCAGAACATATTTCTTTAAAAATATAAAACTTCTATTTAGCATGATGAATGGACAAGATAGGACAGACAAGACAGTTACAATATGTCAATTGATTCATTGCACCCCAAACAGTAAGACCCCAAAACTGGAGGGGGCCATAATTCTCTGAATTTGCATGTTGTAATAAAGATACACTGTGCTATTTTGACTAGCTATCAGTTTTTTTCCAATATTCAATCTGTGATACTTTTTTCTAAGATGAATGATAATGTAATATAGGTTAGTAAGTGTGAGAAGTTTGGATATGGATACATGGTGACCCAGGTAGCTGCCACTGCTCCAGGAATGATAGCCCTGCAGAAAACAGGTGATTGATTGAAAAGTCAATTAGCAAAATTAATTACTTACAATTTAGTGGACAAGGAAAATATTGGGATTGTTTGTCATCCAAAAAGGAAAGAAAATTCAACAGTTTATATTGCCATCTAAATTACCTTTAAGTTTAAAGTAAATTCAAATAATTGTAGAAAGTTTTAATTTTCAACAGACAGTTATGGAACTTTTTCATCTGAACTTATTTAATTGAACTATTTTAATTTACATGTCCATGCCTTATACTGTTGTAGGTTACATTAAGTCACTGATATCAGAGATGTGGTCGGTTCTGGAGTGTGGGGCTTCTGACACACCTCTATTTACCCCCAAAAGCTGGTCAGTGGACACAATAGATAGATCCTCCCACAAGGTCTGTTTATAGCAAGTTTTAACTTGTACATAGTGTCAAAGATAATAATAAATTACTTACAATAATTATTTTGGGGTAATGCGAGAACATAACAATCTGTGGATCCAATGAGACCTTAATGTTGAATTGACTATAAACACTGTCTAGGGACATAGAGTTTCACAAGTAACATTGTTAACTCACCTGAGCTGAAAGCTCAAGTGAGCTTTTCTGATCACATTTTGTCTGTAGTCCATCTGTCCATCTGTCTGTCTGACCGTCCGCCTGTCTGTAAACTTTTCACATTTTTGACTTCTTCTCTAGAACCACTGGGCCAATTCCAACCAAACTTGCCACAAAGCATCCTTGGGTAAAGGGGATTCAAGTTTTTTCAAATGAAGGGTCATGCCCTCATTCAAGGGGGGATCATTCAGAAATAGTGAAAATTTGGTGGCATATTTTAAAAATCTTCTTCTCAAGAACCACTGGCCCAAAAAAGTAAAAGTTGAAACTTATAGGAAATCTTTGTTATATAGTTTAGATTCAAGTTTGTTCAAATCATGATGCCTGGGGGTAGGGTGGGGCCACAATGGGGGATCAAAGTTTTACATAGGAATATATAGGAAAAAAATCTTTAAAAATCTTCTTCTCAAGAACAGAAAAGCCATGTTTTGTCATATTGATATGGAAGCATCCTCAGGTATTGTAGATTCAAGTTTGTTCAAATCATGACCCCCAAGGGAAGGGTGGGGTCACAATGGGGGATCAAAGTTTTACATAGAAATATATATATAGGAAAAAACTTAAAAAATTTTGTTCTCAAGAACAGCAAAGCCTTGTTTAGTCATATTGATATGGAAGCATTCTCAGGTATTGTAGATTAAAGTTTGTTCAAATCATGACCCCCGGGGTAGGGTGGGGTCAAAATGGGGGATCAAAGTTTTACATAGGAGTATAAAAGAAAAAATCTTTGTCTCAAGAACAGCAAAGCCATGTTTAGACATATTGATATGGAAGCATCCTGGGTAGTGTAGATTAAAGTTTGTTCAAATGATTACCCCTTTGGGTAGGGAGGGGCCACAATTGGGTATCAAATTTTTACAAATGAACATATACCACAGGATAAAATCTTTAAAAAATCTTCTGCTCAAGAACAGCAAAGCCATTTGTTGTTATATTGATATGGAAGCATCTTCGGGTAGTTTAAAATTCAAGTCCCCCCCCCCCTGCCCACCCCATGTAAACTTTTCAATACTGAAGTGATTTGTGCTTTTTCCTAGCCATTGTGCTCAGGTGAGCGATGTGGCCCATGGGCCTTTTGTTTTTATCTAGCATTTGATCAGACTGCTGAATGTCTTGTCTGCGTTCCCTGCTGTGTATGAGGTTCTGGCCAACAAACCTCTTCCTTCCAAGCCAGAATATGGATTCAGGGAAATTCCTACAACTATAGTAGTAAGATATCCAGACTTGTAGATTGTACATTAATGTTTCTTGTTGCACTGAAAGGACAGTTGTAGAAATTTTGTGGATTAATTAAGTAATAACCTAAATTTTAAGTTATGAATTGGTAAGAAAATTATTTGGAATAAAAACAAGGCAGGTTCTGTTTAATGTAATATACACACTGACATGTAAATCCTAAATGAACACAATATTATGCATTGTATTTGTAGGATTTTGTGGATCGTCTTATCATGGTAGATTCTGATGCCAAAATCCATTCCTTGTTTAATTTTGAACAGAGTCACACTTTTGGATTGAGGTAAATTTTATTTTCCTCAAGTCTAAGTAGAGTTTTATTTCCTGAAATGAAAACATTTTTAGCTCACCTGAGCCAAAGGCTCAAGTGAGCTTTTCTGATCAAAATTTGTCCATTTGTCCGTTGTCTGTCATTGTCGTCGTTAACTTTTCACATTTTCATCTTCTTCTCAAGAACCACTGGGCCAATTTCCACCAAACTTGCCACAAAGTATCCCTGGGTAAAGGGAATTCAAGTTTGTTCAAATGAAGGGCCATGCCCTCTTTCAAGGGGAGATAATTGTGAATTCGTGAAACATTTATGGCATCTTTTAAAAATCTTCTCAAGAACTACTGTGCAAGAAAATATGAAACTTATGTGGAAGCATCCTCAGGTAGTGTAGATTCAAGTTTGTTCAAACCATGACCCCTGGGGGTAGGGTTGGGCCACAGTGGGCAATCAACTTGGCCCCTTATATTAGTGGTCAGCCCCTTTTTCTTGAAATCATCTTAAAACTTTCATTCTTCCTTTTCATGATATTCCTTTTGAATCAGTATTTCCACTAATTATTTCATGAGATGAAGAATAATTAATTACAGACAAATACAAACCTTAACATCCATCCTTTAATATTTAGTTACCTCCAAAGTTTTACATAGGGAAAATCTTTAAAAATCTTCTTCTCAAGAACAGCAAAGCCATGATTGGTCATATTTATATGGAAGCATCCTCAGGTAGTGTAGATTCAAGTTTGTTTGAATCATGACCCCGGGGGTAGGGTGGGGCCACAGTAGACAATCAAAGTTTTACATAGGAATACAAAGGGAAAATCTTTAAAAATCTTCTTTTCAAGAACAGCAAAATTGTGATTTGTCTTAATAAAATAAAAGCATCTTCTGCAGGTAATGTAGATTCAAATTTGATCAAATCATGACCCCCAGGAGTATAGAGGGGCCATAACAGGGGATCATAGTTATAAATAGGAATATAAAGGATAAATCGATAAAAATTTCTTCTTAAGAACAGCAAAAATATTAGTAGTCATGTTTGTTCAAATCGTACCCCCCACCCCACCCCTATTCCCACCCCCAGAACCATTTTAAATATTTAAACTTTTCAATACTGAACTGATTTCTGCATTTTCCTAGCCAAAGTGCTCAGGTGAGCGATGTCGCCCATGGGCCTCTTGTTTTCAATACCAGAAGTTGTACTTTGATACAATGATTACTGACTTACATACACTGAACATGTACCTATTCACAAATGAATGATAAAACGTAGTTACAAGGTGAAAGAGTGTACAAAATTTGTGTCCAAATGTAAGTAATCCATGGATTGCAATCTTGTGTCGGATGCATGGTAAATCCTCTTTCTGTACTTACAGAGTGCTAAGTGTGATGATCTGTTGTCTGGACACCTTCCTGTATATTTTTTCTGTACTTACAGAGTACTAAGTGTGATGATCTGTTGTCTGGACACCTTCCTGTATATTTTTTCTGTACTTACAGAGTACTAAGTGTGATGATCTGTTGTCTGGACACCTTCCTCTATATTTTTTCTGTACTTACAGAGTACTAAGTGTGATGATCTGTTGTCTGGACACCTTCCTGTATATTTTTTCTGTACTTACAGAATACTAAGTGTGATGATCTGTTGTCTGGACACCTTCCTGTATATTATTTCTGTACTTACAGAGTACTAAGTGTGATGATTTGTTGTCTGGACACCTTCCTGTTGCTGCAGTCTCAGTACAACTTCCAGGAAATCCTACTTTCTGCTCAGGAAGACAACCATTATCCCAAGTAAGTATAAGCAGGTCCATCAGTTGTCTATCCTCAAATACAAAGATATGTGCCACATGTACATAACCAAAGCAGAAGCAATGCACATAAAGTAAAGCAGAAGCAATTGTATAAAGCAAAATAGTAGCACATACGCAAAAACCAAAGCAGTAGTGCAAGTACATCAAGCAAAGAAGAAGCACATGCACATATAGCAAAGCAGTAGTACTTGTACATAAAGCAAAGGAACAGCACATGTTCATGTAAGTAAAACCAAGGAGAAGCAAATGTACATAAAGTAAGCAGCAGTAAATGTACACAAAGCAAAGCAGTAGCACATGTACAAAAAGCAAAAAGAAGCACATGCACATAAAGCAAAGCAGTAGAGTATGTACATCAAGCAAAGTGGTAGCACAAGCACAGCAAAACAGTAGCACATGTACATAAAGTGAGGCAGCAGCACAAGTTCACAAATCAAGGAAGTAAAGGCAAAACAGTAGTACAAGTTCACAAAGCACTAAGAAGCACAAGCAAAAAAGGCAAAGCAGTAGTACATGCACATAAAGACAGTGGTAGCATCTGTACAAAAAAAGCAGTAGCACATGCACATTAAGCAAAGTAGCAAAAGTACACAAAGGAAGAAAGAAGCACATGCACATATGGCACAGCAGTAGCACATGTACATAAAGCAAAGCAGTAATTCATGAACACAAAGCAAAGCAGTGGTACAAAGCAGTGGCACATGTACACAAAGCAAAGCAGTGGCACATGTACACAAAGCAAAGCAGTGGTACATGTACACAAAGCAAAGCAGCTGCACAAAGCAGTAGCTTTAAATCACCTTTTAAAGCTTGGTCACAGCTGTAGAATTCCCCATGCACCTGTTAAGCTACACATGTTAACATAAATTAATTGCTTTTGTTTCTTTTGGTAGGTAACAGTTACATGCATGAGTATCAGCTGAATATAACGATAACTCATTTTAACATACTGTACGTGAACATAAATTGGTGTATTCAAAATTTAGCGCAATCACTGGTATGGAGTTGTTGGCGAAATCATAAATTAGCACTATATATGTCTGTGCCGTATGTTGTATCTATAAATGATTTCTTAGCGGTATTCATGAATTAGCCAAAGCCGCTAAAATGTGAAGCTCGCTTTTTTAAGTACACATACAGTATCTTACAGTCAGTACATTGTACATACATTGTACATATACATGTACATTTATGCAAATGCCTATTCTCTTCTACAGAGAAAACATAATTCTGGACTTACTCTCCTTGGAGAGGAACCACATTTTGGTGAGATCCTACCTTATAGGGGGACCCTCAGAGAGAATCCTGCCACCCAGAACCATTGATGAGGTTAGAATTTTTTTCCAAGCTCATTCTTTACCAAGTTGTAATGACACTTAATCTCTAGTGAAGCAAGTTAAATTAATAGGAGATCTGAAAATGAACTTCATATTATTTGCATTTCAGAATAAGAAGAATGGTGTGTTTTCATTTCCTCTGTTTTCATCCTATCCAGTTCCAAGAGAATATGTCCCTAGTATTGGGGGGAGGTCAACAGTCAAACAAGGTATATTCTATATAAAGAGCAATGTGTACTAGTGGTTCAGATAATCACATTAGCATGCTTATGTTGTATATTTTGTTTAAAGGTATATATGTCATGTTTTACTATATGCATGGGTATTACCGTTTTATTTACACGAGTAAACAACATACAAGTATATGCATTTAATGCTTAAAAATATATTTTTATTAACTCTTTATTGTACATTTATATATTCTATAAACATTTATGAATAGTTATAATGTACATGTAAAGAATGTGTAGTTGCTTTGCCTTCTATATTTATTGTATGGGTATCCTGATTTAATTCAATTTCACTGAATCTGGAGATATGATGGAATACTGATATTCATTCAGTGTTGAAGGGTCATGAGAGAGTGAAAGTGAATCAATGAAATACACATATTTTAATATTTGATAATATACAGAGTCGGATGTGAAGAGAAAAGTTCTGGGTTTATTTACAAGTTCAGGTCAGCCAATAGATTTCTCATTTCTGTGTGAACTAATGCCCTCTAGTGGTGAACCCTATGGTCAGGGGGAAAACTCTGTTCGTACTGATTTCCAAACATCATGTTGCAAATTTCTCTTCAGTGAAGGTGATGGTGATTATTAAAAAAACCCATATATCTATCTTTTATATTGATATAGATTGAATACATGTAACTCTTTAATACACATGACCAATATGTAGAACTAATCTATTTTCCCTTTGAAGTATAATTTAATATGTGTACATATTCTTGAATGTAGTACATGTACTAACATAGCCAGTGGCATAACATAGTTGTTTGAGACACACCTTTAAAAATTCATATGGGATTGGGAAATATTCAGGTTATACTGTACTCTAGGTCATCAAAGAAGAACAGCACACTTTTTCACCTGACACCATCAACATCATTATAGATTTTTGCCATTAACACTAACATTATAAAACTCAAACAGGTAATGCAGTCCACATGGATGTTTTATTTTTTGTGTACATTGTGATGTTTGACTTTGTAGCTTTTGTTTTGACATCGGAACAAGAGGAAGGTTTGTATCTGGGCACTTGTTTGCATGTGAACATGCACCCTGTATGATTATATATATACATGACTTGTATACAGTGCAAACATTAAATGTGCATACATGTATCAAGATGATTTAAAAGTTTGAAGACAGGCATAGAATTTCTATATTCTTTTTAAACCTTCTGAACATATCTCATCTTTTCAATATTACACTGAATTGGAAGATAAAAGAACTTTTGAAGACAATGAGCTCAGATATGTTTTTGATCCATGCTGAACTTCAATGCCTATACTCTTCCATTTATGAAATCTATATCCATGTTCCATTATAAAATGCATACAAAATGTATTAAAAAAAAAAAAGAAAAGAAAAGAAAGAAAGGAAAACTAGCTTTCATTCCTGCCTTCTTTTAATAAATTAATCATATAGCTTCATTCTTCATCATGAAAGTGCAGTGATGGGTAAACAATAATTTTGGTTTTTGTTTGTGTGACCACTTAATATGGTCACAGGCACAGAAGTAATTTCACCGAAAGATTTTTGGCTGTGCATTTTTACATGTTCAAAGACAAATATTTTTATTAACACTTAACTTTTTAAAAAAATTATTGATTAATTCTTCATTTACTGAGAAAGCCACACCAAAGATACTCCATATCATCGTAATATTTTTTTGCAGGAAATGGAGGATTGAATTTTTTTTTTTTAATGTAACGGTTAATGCTTGTAAGATTGAAAAATAATTTACTTGGTTAAAAATCAAACTGACTTTAAGTGAAGCAAAGATCAGTTCAATACTTTTGTATGTGTAAATTTTATTTTCCTTGAAGTTCTTGAACTAATATTATGCATATTACATATATTTTAACATTCGTAATTTTTAATAATTTTAAAATGTTCATTTGACAGACAATGACCTGGCTAAATTCCTGTCTGCGAAGAAACCAGAAAAGGGCCAAGCTTGGTTGGACAAATGTAAAACTCTCTTCTCTAAAATGTTGATATCGAAACCAGACATGCTGAAAGGAAATTGTGAGTACATGTATAATAAAAGACAAAACACTGCACATGTATGTGAATTAAATGTAGATTTGACAAAGGTATTTTATTTCATGGAAAATTTTATTTAGTTTGTAGCTCTATGACTCTTCATTTACTATACTTAAATGATAAAGCATTCACAAGAGCTTCAAAATTTATAGCATTAAGGAGAGCTTAAACTGATTTGATTATGTGATTAAAAATCTTTTGTATAAGTTGCACGCATGCATCAGAATTTAAGTCCTGCACATGCTTAGTCTTGTGGTTTTTTCTTGCTTCAAGTCCGATTACATGTAATCTTTCAATATTTATTTTCTTGTGAAATTGTACTATCAGTTTCCAATCTACATATATATTTTATTTCATAGTGTTGCAGCAGTTGCTGGAGGTGGGAGTTCCAATTATGTCTAAGATTCAGGACGTCTTTCCATTACTGGAATATACAGGTATGAATCATATGGTTTATTATTTACACCCCCCCTCCCCAAAAATAGAAAGAAATGTGTACTTCATATCATTACTTTCTATATGTAGAAAGTAATAGGAAAATATTTTTTCTTTTTAAGAATGTTGTATTTTTGTTATATTTTTGTGTTTGTTAAGTTTTTTTTTCTGTTTCAAATAAATTTTTTATAGGAATAAAGATGACAATTTTAGGCATTTGTATAAATGTCTGAAAATTAAATGTATTGCATTTAGGATTAAAGGTATTTACAGAAATACATTGTACTGTTATTTAATTTAATTCAATTTCCCAATTCCTATTAAAATGTTGTGCATTAAAGTAACTTGCTTTAATATCATCACAGGTTTGTGGGGACATAATTTTGTTGAAAAATATTTTGTATGAAGATACGAGTAACAAAACAATCTTTGTTGAGGGTTAAAATATGTGGATAAGGAGGACTCATGCACAAAAATTCAACCCCCATGAAATATGATTGCACAGTAGATTCTGGACATCTTGCTTAAATATTTCTGATCCAATATTCTTCCTCCATTACCCTTTGTAACCTGTAAAACTTCTTGAATTTGTACTTAAATGTTGTAACATGTCTGTTTTTGGGTCACCTGAGTCACTCAGGTGACCTATTGCTATCTGTTTTCATCCGTCGTCGTCCATCGTGCGTTAACTTTTGAACATTTTTTACTTCTTCTCTAGAACCGCTCAACCAATTTCAACCAAATTTGGTATATAGCATCTATAGGTGAAGGGGAACAAAAATTTTGAATTTCATGGTCCCTGCCCCCCTGGGGCCTGAGGGGTGGGGCTAAAACCACCAAAAATAATGCAATCTTTAAAAATCTTCTTTACTCCTGGACATCAAGCAGTCAAACTGTTGGCATCATTGTAATAAGCATTGAGCCCTCTACCAAAATTGTGAAATTCATGGCCCCAGGGTCAGGGTTTCTGGTGTTAGGGCGGGGCTCTATCGATTATATAGTGAAAATGCATTAATTCTTTGAAAATCTTCTCCTCTGTTCCTTGGCATTAAGTTGATAAACTAAGTACATAGTTATGATGAGGAGGTGGGCCTCTTCCAGAATTGTGAAAGCCATGGCCCCTGGGTCAGGGGTTCTGGTGATAGGATGGGGCTCTATTGATTATATAGTGAAAATGCTTTAATTCTTTGAAAATCTTCTTCTCTGCTCCTGGGTATTAAATAAAGTTACTAAGTACATAGTTATGATGAGCAAGAGTGCCTCTTCCAAAATTGTGTAATTCATGGCCCCAGGGTCAGGGGTTCTGGTGTTAGGGCGGGGCTCTATAGATTATATAGTGAAAATGCATTAATTCTTTGAAAATCTTCTTCTCTGCTACTGGAGACTATTTAAACAAACTAAGTGCATGGTTATGATGCATAAGGATGCCTTTTCAATATTTGATAATATAGTGGAAAAGTGTTAATTCTTTGAAGTCCATAGTTATGATGATGAGGGTAACTCTTCCAAATTTGTAAATTTCTTGACCCTTGGTCTTGGGTTCTGGTGTTAGGGTAAGGCTTTGTTGAATCTGTAGTGAAAATGCACTGTACCTGTGAAATTCTTCTCTGCTTCTGGGCATATCGGAACCAAACTGAGTAAAAGTTTAAATGATATGAGTAAGTGTATTTCTACCAGATTTTTAAACATCTGGACCATTCGTCTAAGCATTCTGGTCCTGGGCAGGGCTCTATTAATTTGTATTCTACTGAGAGAAGTTACTCCCCTTTTCCATTCACCTTTGATAATTAATCACTGTAAATAATGTATTTGAAAGGTTAATAGAATAAGATAATTATGCAAGAATGTTTATCGTATAATTAAAAAAGTACTTTCTTAGTTTTAATAATCAGGTAGACCTGTAAGTAATAGATAAATAAAAATGAGACAAAAATAACTTATCTTATTAAAAGTTCTTCAAAGACCATAAGAGAGGTCAATGCTAGAGGTCTTAATATGGGTTTAAAAATAGTACAGAAGCACTAATAGTTTGTCAATAGTCTGCATGGTGATAGTGTTAAGTGGGGGACAGATTAGAACTTAATTTATGAGTTGATACTGAATACTAGACTAATTGTTTTGTTGATCCTGATCTCCCTACTTCTCTTGCTTTAGGGCACATTGCTTCATCTATCAGTGTATTTAACTTCGAAATTGTTGTATTATACTCAGGTGACCGTTAAGGCCCTTGGGCCTCTTGTTAATTTTGCTGTGCCATTTCCATTAAATTTGTAGTAATGTCCCTTTGTTTATAGAGCCTTGGTGTTATGGGCGCCGCTCACGCCCCAGCAGTGGCAACAGTGGTAGGCTAACTCACCGTTGCCACAGTTTTGCCACATTGTACTGTCACAAACTGAGGTCAACACTCATATTAATAATTAGATTTTGCACAATCTTGTGGATAACAAAACAATTACAAATGTTGTTTCTTTATAATTCTTTTCAGGTGTTTTTTTTTTAAATTTTTATTAACATCAAATTTTAACTTTTTATTCAACACTTTGATATTTCTTTGTTTTTGTATCAATATTAAACACTCTACATTTTTGCTTTTTATTTCAGAGAATAAATAAAAAATTCTTGAAAGAAATAGCAGCTTTAGTGATAAAAAAAAATCCTTTTTTTTTTTTTTTTTTTTTTTTTTTTTTTTTTTTTTTACTAAATTCTCTTTGTAAATAGAAAAGATGCTTTTTCAATGTACACATTTAGATATATGCATGTAATATGACATCTCAAACCCCAACCCCAGATATAAGAACAAGTGCAGTGATGTAAGGCTCAATTTCTTACTTTTCTTCCATCCTAAAGGTACAGATAGTGCTTTAAAAGGTCTAAAACTATCACCACTTCAGAAGAATGGCATCAAAATGGCTATAAGGTAAAAAAAAAAAAAGTTTGGTATTACAAAACTATTGATTGGTAGCATTCTTAAGGTCAATATCTAGTTAATGAAAGATGCTTACAAATTTGAGAAAGGAATTCCTTAATGATGCTATATTAACTTAATTCAGCTTGGTAAAGTGTTTTGGAACATAATTTTTGGGTAAACAAAATAGAAAAACATGTTTTAAACTGTCATTTTCAATGAAAAAAATGAAGAAAATCAGTTATAGATTTGGGATTTTTTTTCCATATCAGACAAAGGATATGTATTGATGATTGCCTCTCAGAAAATGGTAATTTGATTATATGTTATTAACCTTTTCTTTAAAAAATATTAAATGAAATATACATGTAGGCATCTGGATTAAAAATGTCAAATTGAATGCCATGAATATGCATCATTTTCTACATAATTCAATTATAACCATAAAGTATGGGGAAAAGTTTTAATTTATGATGTCATTATGGATCTAGCACAAAAAGACAGTATAAACTCAATTACTAGATCTTGACCTTAAAACATATTCAGAGTGTTAACTCTTTTTCCTGAGCAGAATATAATTTTTATATTAAATAACAGATACTTATATTTACTCATGGTGGCCATAATTGTGCAAGAGAATATATATCATTATAAAACTTCACAGACAAAGACCCAAAAAATGCAGTACTGGTACTTGCAAATCCAAATAATTTAATTTTAGTTGTAACATGTCATTTGATTGGATAAAAGATTTTGTTTATATCGTATAACATAAGTTATATGTCACAATGAGTTACGTCAAGAACGTATTACTCCGCTTGACATTACTTTTAAAATTTGTTCAATTTGAAGCCATTTTTGGAGGAAAAATTGTCTTATTGTCTACACTGAAATTAAATTATAAGGAATGAAGCTTATTTTAACCTATGTTATACGATATAACATAACTTGGGGCAGTTTACTCTTTTTTATAAACGGCTTCGTGGTTTATAAAGCATAAACTGCCCCAAGTTATGTTATATCGTATAACATAGGCTAAAATAAGCTTCATTCCTTAATTGTTCATGCAAACATTCATTTAATATTGACTTTGACTTTCAGGTATGGCCTTCACCTGAAGGTGATACACAATGATGTAACAGATCGCCTGGCCCAGCTTCTGAGGCAGTGTTCTTACTACCTCAAGCAACAGCAGAAAGCAGTTGATTCTTCTATAGGTAAGAACATTCCAAACTTGTGAAGTTGTATGGTTTCCCAGTATGTGGAATTACGTGTCTATCTTATACATGTTTATTGTACACCATATATCAAATGATGTTGCCTGCATCAATATATATCCAACTAAAGGCTGTTGAATGACTGTTTTCATTAATATTTGATTTCTACAAATTCATTTTACCAATTACTCTCTTGAATAATTGAATCAGATTGTTTATATATTCAATCATATTTACCTTGATTGAAATTGATATAATAATTTGCTCTCCATTCTCAGAGTATCTCCACTCAGTCTATGGAGGCTTTGACTGGTTTGCTGCCACAATTTTCCTGATGTTTGGTGGTAACTTGGAGAAGTCCTGGAACTTCCTTCACAAGTTCTCCACCTTAGGCTGTTCTGGCTATCTGTGGATCCCAAGACTTCACTGCTCTGTAAGTCAGCAGCAAGCTCATTGGTTGTCTAGCATATCAATCCATGTTCTGACCTTGACTTTGTAGCTTCTAAGGTTTTGGAAGTTTTATTTGTATATATGACATAGATATTGCATATATTGCTACAAAGGTATGATAAGTCCAAGACCCACCATGAAATTCAGAAAGATTATGATTTTCAAAAGAAAAATTGAAATAAAGTTAATAGTTGTGTATAACATTAGAATGTGTTATGAATCAGATCCACTGTGGTTAAGGCTTCCTTGGAAATAGTAATGAAGTGTGAAGGAATTAATTTATTTATTTATTTGCCTTTGTTTTGAATGATATAAATTATGTTTAATAAACCAGTTACTTCATAATATTTTGTGAACTTTCAGGTTCACTTGCCATCTGACCTGATGTGTAGTGGAATTTCCCCGTTGTTTTCCAGCACGGGTCATAACATTGAACTCATCCTTCAAATAGAACTTCCCCTTGTAGCCTCTGCATTTAAAATGTCAGGATTTACTCCAGCACAGGTTAGCAGAAAGTCAAGTGTTTGAATTTCAATTATTTAGTTCATAGATAAATCTTTCGGGCCAATTTACTCAAATTCATTTACTGTTATAACTAGGGATGTCAACGAATATTCGATTATTCGAATATTCATTCGATGAGTTGATATTCGAATAAGAATTTACAATTCGAATATTCGTTTTTTTTCCAGATTTCACAAAAAAGAGATAACTATGATTAATTTTGAGGACAACAAAATGAAACCCTTCTTTGTAAATCTGAAAGATGTGAAGAGGTTACTTGACAAAATAAATTCATTGATCATTGAATTAATTAGTCTGTAATACCATAAAGGGATCAATTTCACAATAAATTGCGTTAATTACTTGATTATCTCGGTTGTACATATTCCATATATTCTAAAAACCATTTTCGGGAAAATAGTTAATTACCTACGAAAATTGTCCTTGGAAGTGTTTGTTTGCGTTTTGAAAACATTGAATCAAGGATTATAATTACAACTTTTATTGGGTAGATAATTGTAATTAATTACATACATTTAAATCTGAACAGTATACGACAATCTTGCCCTTGATAAGACAATCAGTTCATTGTTTAGAGCTTCAAGATGTAATTTGTAAAATTATATTTGGGATGTTTACCTGTACACTCAAATCACTATATTTATTTCAAACATCGACAAATAGCAAATGTAAAATTCCTTACTGTACACCCACAAAATTCTACACCCAATTTTTCCTCAAATCTGTCATGAGGGTAAGATGATGCATATATAAAATGAAGTAAATCTTATCGAATATTTGAATATATTCGAATACTTTCATTGAATATTCGAATATATATACATTTCCAATACATTTCCCCTATGATTCTTTACAAAATATAATACAGTTCATTTTCTCATGAACTACCATGAATAGGCATGAATATCTCCATTGTTACGTCATAATACCTTACTTGACGTCAAAACTATAGTGCAAACTGTTTTGCTTTAAAAATGACAGTTGAATGGTGTTATATGTGGCAAATTGTCAGAAATATAATGTAAATATAAGAAATGAATCTAATTTTTGAAGATTCATGAGATACATGAACTACAACGCTTCACGCCGGCATATTTATCATGAAGCGCTAATGCGCTTCATGAAATATGCCGGCGTGAAGCGTCGTAGTTCATGTCCTCATGAATCTTCAAAAATTAAATTCATTTCTTAAATGAATTGCTGAAAAAATTGACATCCCTAGTTATAACTGATATCCACTTGGATGTAACCATTAATACTTATGGTCCTTTCAAATACTTCCAGTAGGGTTTTAATGCTCTCTCTCTTCCCTTCATTTTAGTTGTCTAGCTAATGTTTTCTCTCTCCCCTCCCCCTCCCCATGTTTTGAAGATACCTCATATTTCATTACATGGATGAATTTTTATGCCCTGCCATGAATATGGCCGGGGCATATAGTGTTTGTCTTGTCCATCATCCATCCTTCTGTCCCTCTGTCCCACTCTGCATTTAGCTCAGTTTCAAAGAAACTATTCAAGATATTTTTATCAAACTTCATATGCTGATACATATTGATGAAAGCTATTCAACTGCATCAGCATTTTTTGACCTTGACCTTTCCTTTTACCTTACTTTTATTAAAAAATGTGTTTAGCTCAGTTTCAAAGAAACTACTCAAGATGTTTTTATCCATCCTAATATGCTGATACATATTGGTGAGAGCTATTCCATTTTCATCAACATTTATTACCTTGACCTTTTCTTTGACATTGACCTTACTTTTCAAAATTTTGTGTTAAGCTCAGTTTCAAAGAAACATTTCAAAATGTTTTTATCAAGCTTTATATGCTGATACATATTGGTGAAAGCTATTCAATTTCATTAACATTTTCTGACCTTGACCTTTCTTTGACCTCACTTTTCTCAATTTTATGTTTAGCTCAGTTTAAAAGGAAAAATTAACATAGTCTTTTCAAACTTCATATGCTTATACATTTTGGTGAGTGCTATTGAACTGCATCAAAATTTTGTGTTCTTGATTTTTCTTTGACTCATTGAATTTGCATTTAGCTTAGATTCAAAGAAACTATTCAAGATATTTTTGTGTAAGCTAATACACTGATGCATAATTTGATGAGAATTTATCAGCTGTGTCCATTTTTTTTCTTTTACCTTGAGCTTCCCAATGACCTTTGACGTTACTATTCATTGTGTATAAAACTCATTTTAAAGAAATTATTCAAGATACAGGTGTATTTTCATCAAACTTCTTACACTAATACAAATTTTCATGTTGCATTACTTATGAACCCTAGGCAGGACATTCATGTCCTATGGACATATTTCTACTTTTGCTTTTGAATCATGTAACAGTCAGTCAAATTTATTTTGCTTTTTTTTTTCTTTATCATTATTACTGATCTCATTTTTCCAGATCTGTTTTCATTGGTTGAAGCAGTGTTTCTGGAACTATCTGGACTGGACTGAGATTTGTCAGTATGTCTGTCTGTGTATTGTGATGGGGATTGACTACCAGGTGTATCTGTGCTGTTCCATCCTCAAACACCTACAGAAAAATATCATGGAACACATGCAAACACAAGAGCTCATCATATATCTGAAGGCAAGTACAGCTGTATACATATATTATCTGTGTAATATCATGGAAAACATGCAACCACAAGAATTCACCATTTACCTCCAGGTATTCATTTGTGTTAATTAGACATTTGTGACTAATATGTCATAATATTGTATACCAATCTTTTTTTCTCTTTTTTTTTTTTTTTGAAGTCGCATTCAGATGTTCTGGTTTCTCATAAGATTTTTGTAAACTTTGGGAGATTTCTCTGACATTGTTTCTCACTTCTGACTTTGAACATTTAACTTAATTTTCGCTCTTAAGTCTTTAATTAAAAAAATAAATCATAATTGTAACAGGGACATTGATCTACCTCTGCTGGGGATTGAACTTGGGGCCTCTGGCATGCCAGTCCAGTGCTCTACCAACTGAGCTAAAGGGTTAACCCACTAGCCTAAGCTAGTAGGAAGCCATGTATCTGACACTACCACATAATTTAGCCAAAAATGTTTGTTTTGTGTTTTGTCCAGTACGACGAGTTTGACAATTAATATTCTTTAAAAGCTGTTATTGGTTTTCATTCGTAGTATTGATGTATTCACCAAGAGTCATTGAGTTTTTATGTTTTTCTTCAGGAGAATGCTATCACAGGATTTCACTCATCAAATTACATGACCTATATGATTGGGCTTGAGAAGAAATACAGAGATACAATATTTAGGGATATGCTTAACATCACAAGACCATGACAAGAAAATGTCTAAAAACAAAGACTTGTTGGTTTTAGTTGAAAAAAATGAGACCTTGAGAAATATGCTATTTTCAGAAAGTTTTGATATGCTGAACTAGAACAACAACAAGTTTGATTATTGTAGAAAGATCATGAAGTTGTCAGATTGTTCGGTTTTCTTAAATCATCTGTTTTAAAATTGTTGATGATATATGTTTATGACAATTATCAGCTTTATTCCAATATGAATCTCATTTTGCTTTGATTTTGTGTCAGATTCATATTTGTTTAGAGGAAATTATGTTTTGATTCATCTATGCTAGTTTTTTGGTAAATGTATATATGTACAACCATTTAACATTTGTGATATTGATTGTTGTGGATACCCATTTTATTTATGAATCTGCAGTTTATTTTTACTTTGCAATCATTGCCGTCCATTTTTTTTTTAAAAAGTATATTTCTTAATAAAGGTATTTTAATTACTGCTTGGCTTTTTTGGAAGCAAAACTGTCTCAAGTCCAGTAAAAAAGGAATTCTTGTCTTCACATTTCAAAACCAGTATAATAAAGCTTTGATTTTTTTTTTTTGAAGATTTGCCATTGCAAAGTAATGTTCTTTCAGGGGTTTCAATCCTCCCTAGTTCAGAAATAAAACATCTGCAAAAAATTTGACAATAATTAAAGGATTAAGTTAGGTAATGATAAAATCTGCCCCTCCCACGTTTAACATGGGATTCAGAATATTGTATGTGACTTTTTTAATTAAAGGACATACGCAATGTAGTTTGAACTTTATAGTCTTTTTCCCTGTATTTGAAGAGTTCCAATATTCAAAGGAACTGTGTGCTGCATTTTAAGGTTTATATATGCTGTTGTACACTTCTTCTAAAACAAGTTTGGATAAGCAAAACATCTAGAATATATGTTTAGTAATTTTTGTATATTTTTCTTTGAGTTATACAAGAATTTTCCTCAATTGATAACTTTTCAAAACCCCTGGTAATGCATGCTGATTTTTTGTATACGAACATCTGATGGCACTATAATCTTAAATTAAGAATATCTTAATTATCAGTAGGTAAGGTACGTTGCATATGTCCTTAAATTTTTTTGTTAATTTTGCCTTGGTTTACACAGAATGCCTGCTTGTTTTTCTGAGATTTTGAAATTTAAGATCAGATACATATATTAGTGCACAATACGTGAATTTGCACTCTACATATTGAAGAAATATACTTGAACTAGAAATATGTCCATAGGACATGAATGGCATGTCTAGGTTCCATTAATGATGCAACTGTGATTTGTATAAGTGTATGAAGTTTAATGAAAATATCTCATATAGATTCTTTAAAACTGAGTTTCATACTTGATAAAGTCAAAGGTCATTTGGAAAGTCATGGTAAAAAAATGGGTTCAGTTGAAAAATTCTCACCAAATTATGTATCAATGCATAAGCTTACATAAAAATATCTTGAATAGTTTCATTGAAACTTAGCTAAACACTAATTTAAGAAAAGTGTGGTCAAGGTCAAAGGAGAGGTGGAGATCAAAATTGTTAATCAATATGTATCAACATATGAAGTTTGATTGAAAATATCTTGAATAGTTTCATTGAAACCTAGCTAAACACAAATTTAAAAAAATTGTTTCTTTGAAACTGAGTTAAACCTTTTTTTAAAAGAAAAGTTTGGTCAAGTTAAAAAAAAATATTGATGAATTTGAAAAGCTCTCATCAGTATGTATCTGCATATGAAAAAAGATAAGAAATATCTTAAATAGTTTCCTTGAAACTGAGCTAAACACTAATATAAGAAAAGTAAGGTCAAGGTCAACAGAAAGGTCAAGGTCATAAAATGTTGATGCAATTAAATAGCGTACATCAATATATATCAGCATATGAAGTATGATAAAAATATCTTGAATGGTTTCTTTGAAACCGAGCTAAAACTAATTTAAGAAAAGTAAGGTCAAGGTCAAAAATGTTGATACAGTTGAATAACATGCAGTCTGTGCGCTGTGTCAGCCAATTTACTCAGAAATTTGCTCTAAGAATCATATGTAGGTATGGTATATACATCCGCCGAAGAAACACCACATGATCTTTCGATTTCTTCCGATGTATATAGAAAATGGGTAAAAAAGGATTCTCAAATGAAATTTTCTAAGTAAAGCTTTTTTCAAATTCATATTAGTATGCATCATTAAACTGCGATCAATATTTTGACCAATGGATGGACAAGTCCATCGACAATGAGAAAGGGGGGAGGGAAGATTAGGATTGACTCGTTACGTCCCCTTTCTCTCAAATACATGATATATATATATGTTAACTTTATTTTTAGCTCTACTGGTCAGAGACCAGAAGAGCTTATGTGATAGTAAAGTGTCCATCGTCCCTCCGTCTAGCTAGTTGTCTGTCCGTCTGTAAACAATTTTTCTAAAACCTACTCCTCCTACAGTTTTGGTCTGATTTCAATATAATTTGGCACACAAGTAGACTATACTAAGATACATAATTCTGTATATCAGTTTTTGATTTCAATGAACGGTGTTGCCATGGTTACTAAAAATAGAAATTTCTGTGAAAAACATTCAAAATGCTACTCCTCCTACAGTTTTGATCTGATTTCATTAAAACTTGGCACACAAGTAAACTATACTAAGATACATAATTCTTTGTATCGGTTTTTTAATTTCAATGAACGGTGTTGCCATGGTTACTAAAAATAGAAATTTCTGTGAAATACATTCAAAATGCTACTCCTCCTACAGTTTTGATCTCATTTCAATATAACTTGGCACACAAGTAGACTACACAAAGGTACATAATTCTATATATCCGTTTTTGATTTCGATGGACAGTGTTGCCATGGTTACTAAAAATAGAAATTTCTGTGAAAAACATTCAAAATGCTACTCCTCCTACAGTTTTGATCTGATTTCATTATAACTTGGCACACAAGTAGACTATACTAAGATACATAATTCTGTGTATTGGTTTTTTAATTTGAATGAGCAGTGTTTCCATGGTTACTAAAAATAGAAAATTCTGTGAAATACATTCAAAATGCTACTCCTCCTACAGTTTTGATCTGATTTCATTATAACTTGGCACACAAGTAGACTACACTAAGATACATAATTCTGTTTATCTGTTTTTGATTTCGATGAACGATGTTGCCATGGTTACTAAAAATAGAAATTTCCTTGAAATACATTCAAAATGCTACTCCTCCTACAGTTTTGATCTCTTTTAATATAACTTGGCACTCAAATAGACTACACTAAGATATATAATTCTGTTTATCCGTTTTTGATTTCAATGGACAGTGTTGCCATGGTTACTAAAAATAGAAATTTCATTGAAATACATTCAAAATGCTACTCCTCCTACAGTTTTGATCTCTTTTAATATAACTTGGCACTCAAATAGACTACACTAAGATATATAATTCTGTTTATCCGTTTTTGATTTCGATGAACGATGTTGCCATGGTTACTAAAAATAGAAATTTCCTTGAAATACATTCAAAATGCTACTCCTCCTACATGTTTTGATCTCTTTTAATATAACTTGGCACTCAAATAGACTACACTAAGATATATAATTCTGTTTATCCATTTTTGATTTCAATGGACATTGTTGCCATGGTTACTAAAAATAGAAATTTCTATGAAATACATTCAAAATGCTACTCCTCCTACAGTTTTGATCTGATTTCATTATAACTTGGCACACAAGTAGACTACACTAAGATACATAATTCTGTTTATCCGTTTTTGATTTCGATGGACAGTGTAGCCATGGTTACTAAAACTAGAAATTTCTGTGAAATACATTCAAAACGCTACTCCTCCTACAGTTTTGATCTGATTTCAGTATAACTTGGCACACAAGTAGACTACACAAAGATACATAATTCTATATATCCGTTTTTGATTTCGATGAACGGTGTTGCCATGGTCACTGAAAATAGAAATTTCCTTGAAATACATTCAAAATGCTACTCCTCCTACAGTTTTGATCTCATTTCAATATAACTTGGCACACAAGTAGACTACACAAAGATACATAATTCTGTGTACTGGTTTTTAATTTCAATGAACGGTGTTGCCATGGTTACTAAAAATAGAAATTTCTGTGAAATACATTCAAAATGCTACTCCTCCTACAGTTTTGATCTGATTTCATTTTAACTCGGCACACAAGTAAACTATACTAAGATACACAATTCTGTGTATTGGTTTTTTAATTTCAATGAACAGTGTTTCAATGGTTACTAGAAATAGAAATTTCTGTGAAATACATTCAAAACGCTATTCCTACAGTTTTGATCTCTTTTTAATATAACTTGGCACACAAGTAGACTACACAAAGATACATAATTCTGTATACTGGTTTTTAATTTCAATGAACGGTGTTGCCATGGTTACTAAAAATAGAAATTTCTGTGAAATACATTCAAAATGCTACTCCTCCTACAGTTTTGATCTCATTTCAATATAACTTGGCACACAAGTAGACTACACAAAGATACATAATTCTGTATATCCGTTTTTGATTTCGATGGACAGTGTTGCCATGGTTACTAAAAATGTAAATTTCCTTGAAAAACATTCAAAATGCTACTCCTCCTACAGTTTTGATCTGATTTCATTATACATTGTAACTTGGCACACAAGTAGACTATACTAAGATACATAATTCTGTGTATTGGTTTTTTATTTCAATGAGCGATGTTGCCATGGTTACTAAAAATAGAAATTTCCTTGAAAAACATTCAAAATGCTACTCCTCCTACAGTTTTGATCTGATTTCAATATAACTTGGCACACAAGTAGACTATACTAAGATACATAATTCTGTGTATTGGTTTTTTAATTTGAATGAGCGGTGTTTCCATGGTTACTAAAAATAGAAATTTCTGTGAAATACATTCAAAACGCTACTCCTCCTACAGTTTTGATCTGATTTCATTATAACTTGGCACACAAGTAGACTACACTAAGATACATAATTCTGTATATTTGTTTTTGATTTTGATGAACGATGTTGCCATGGTTACTAAAAATAGAAATTTCCTTGAAATACATTCAAAACGCTACTCCTCCTACAGTTTTGATCTCTTTTAATATAACTTGGCACTCAAATAGACTACACTAAGATACGTATTTCTGTTTATTCGTTTTTGATTTCAATGAGCGGTATTGCCATGGTTACTAAAAATAGAAATTTTTTGAAATACTTTCAAAATGCTACTCCACCTACATGTTTTGTTTGATTTCAGTATAACTTGGCACACAAGTAGACTACACTAAGATACATAATTCTATATATCCGTTTTTGATTTCGTTGAAAGGTGTTGCCATGGTCACTGAAAATAGAAATTTCCTTGAAAAACATTCAAAATGCTACTCCTCCTAC